TGAAAATATGCATAAAAATAAAAAGTGATTGCAGTCCAGCAGAGGGAGGAATGTTCTGTAATAATTATGGCTACAACTTACCTTCGATACTATCATAATCCTTACATAACCACAGTGACTGCTTTCCTCACTATCCATTGATAGTAATTACGTTAGAATTACTATTAATTGTAGGAAAAATTAAAACATATTGTAAAATCAGAGGTGTGTATGTGTATACAATTTGAAGGTAACAACACTTCCTGTACATCTTCAGTGAAACCAAGTACACAATGGTTTCAAGCAGTCACACCTTGCAGCAAAATGTCTTGATAAATATAAATGAATATACAGATATGCATATGTATATACACACATATATAGATATATATATGTGTGTATATTGTATACATTTTATGACACTAAACCTTGAAAAGAAGCAAATATTGTCTTGTGTTTTAGGGCTCATTATTATTATTTCATGGACTGATGATCATCCAGTATCAGGGCGGGATCTTTGGCTAATAAATTGTGTGTGTTTGAGCCACTGTTACCAATTAGAGAAAACGCTGAATCAAGTCTCTTTGCCCAGAAATAGCTGACATTCCAAACTGTGGTCCTCTCACTTACCGTAGAGAAAGTGACAACATCGCAGACAGTGTCTCCTTTTACCATGAGTGTGCAGTCACCACGCTGCAGCTGCCAGACCTCAGATCACTGCACACAACACTTCCTGTTCCTGCCTGTAATGTGTCAGAACTTAATCACATGCAGAGTTAGTCATTTTTATTAATTCATTGATCAAAGCAATTTTTATTTCTAAGTATTGTACAGATAGAGGGTTGGTTGCTTGAATGCTGTGATAGAGCATCGTCAGGCCTTGAATATTATCATTTATGAATTATGTAATAATGATTAATAAAAAATATGAATCTGTAAATTTGTAACAGTAGCAATATGACATGACCACAATATGCAATATTGGGTTCCTCGGCAATAAACCAGAATGATATTGATGTTTTGTTCAATAATTACAACCATTTCATCATCAGTGTTTAGATTGTTATTTCCTTAAATGTTGTTTCCATAAATATGACCTTAGTTGACTTTGGATTACTTTTCAAGGGGGTAAAAAAAACCACCCACTGGTCTACACAGTACCACTGACAGTAGTCAGTGTGACCATGTGGTCCCAAACAGGAAGTGCCTGGACACGCCAGTGTGACGGCAGTCCCTGTCTGCTGGACAGCTATGTGTATTGAAAGTGCAGTTAAAGATCAGAAATCTATTTATTGGCTGGAACTAAACTGGTTCATCCATGATGATGACATTTCAAAGGACCAGGTCAATCTCAGACGCCATATTTGGAAATGTCAGCTACAGCTTATGTAACTGGAAACCCCAGCTAAATTAAGGCCATAATTGAATTATACAAGGTGATTAGCACTCAGACAAGAGTGCACACTCCCTGAATCCTGGCTGAGCATTTGTAATTTGTGTTCCTCCTGACAGACTGGAATTGTACATTAGTACAAAATGACTATAGATATAAACGTATATATTTAAATAGTTGTTTCTCTCTGGATATCACCGTTGGCTGCTGGGATTGGCTTCAGACTTCCACTGACCATGTCTATGATGGTTATCAAGGGCTAAAAAAAAAAGAAAAAGACAGAATTATATTTGATATTATTTGGTATTTGTTCAAATATGTTACTGCTGTTAGGCCTCACCAGTTAATCTCATATGTCTGTATAAATGTTAGTGTTATAGCTGAAGTGCTCTCATTGCTTTTTTGGATACAACATAAATTGTAGCTTCACATTTACCATAAAGTGTTGAAGTGTTTTTCTTGTGTGTCGTTCATTGTAAAATACCATTAGATCAGTTTGAACAAGGTGTTAAATACATAGAGTTCCAAGGGAGTCCTTATTATGTGCGTCTGTATATTATCCACTTATGCTGCAGAGAAATCCTGGCTTAGTTTAGTTTAGTGTTTAACACTTCTGCACCTTGAAAATTTATATGATCCACATGTTTTATCACTTTTATAAGCAGCGATATCAGTGGCATCAGCTTGAAATACATTTGCTGACAGGTTTCATGACAAATAGATCATCTACACCTGGTGTGTTTCCCAGAAGTCTCTGTGGACCGCTGGTGGAGAGAATATGAATATTTACTTTTTGCAAGAATAGAGATAATAGAGATTTGTTGCTTGTTGTTTTTTTTTGGGTTTTTTTGGTTGTTTTTTTGGGGGGTGGGGGTGGGGAGGTTTACAGTGCATAGCTCTGTGAGTCATACCTACCCTGTGATATAAATGGGCTGTGGATATATTAGGTTTATAGGTAGGCAGGAGCACAGACGTCTTAGCAGAACACAGTGTCTTTGGCATGTAGAGTATCCTGCATGAAGTGACTTTTAAGTACACGTGAGGACATGGGTTATATTTTTGTGGACACATATATTGGTTTGTTTGATCGATTCAAATCAGTAAGCAGACAGGCTAAAGATACAAATATGTTTCTAAAACAAGTTAAAGTACAAGTTAAACTAAAGTAAAGTAAAAATAAACACTGTTATTCTGTAGCTCGTAAATCAAGTCAGTAGTACTGGTCACTGATGGTTATGTTGTGGAAACAGTGTCAGGTACTGGCACCTCTGTGGTCCAGCATGTGCCGGGCCAGTTTGGCAGCACACTGGAAGGATTTGTGACAGTCCACACAGACAAAGATCCTTCCGGCACATCTCTGCTCCTGGTGGAGCCTGAGGGTTTCAGGCTGGCTGAAGTTCTTGCTGCAGGCTGCGCAGCTCAGCAGCTTCTCCTTATTGTGGACATACTGGTGACGAACGAGGCGTGAGGCCATGGCAAATGAGACGCCGCACTCTGTGCATTTGAAGGGCCGCGCACCGCTGTGGATGGCCTCGTGTTCGGCCAGGTTGGAGGACTTGGTAAAGCACTTGGAGCAGACGGAGCACACATAAGGACGCACCCCTGCGTGGACCTTGCGGTGCTCCTCCAGTCGGCTGGGCAGCGTGAATGTTTTGCCGCAGTCCGGACAGGAGAAAGGTCTCTCCCCGAGGTGCTGGCGCTCGTGGCGCTTCAAGGAGAGTGGTTTATTGAAGGTCTTGCCACAGTGGGTGCAGGGGAAGGGCTTGTTGTTTGTATGCATGTTACGCTCGTGCTTCCGCAGGTCAGAGGAGCGGATGAAGTCCTTGCCACAGCTGTCGCAGACATAGGGCTTTTCCCCTGTGTGGGTTCTGATGTGCTTGCGATAGTCTGAAGACCAGATGTAGGTCTTGATGCAAAAGGGGCAGCGGTATGGTCTCTCACCAGTGTGAAGACGCTTGTGCTGCTGCAGTGTCCCCTGGTGTGAGTAAGCCTTCCCACAGATGTCACACACATGGGGCTTGAGGCCACTGTGTATCTGTAAGTGACTCTGCAGGTTGCACAGCTTCTTAAAGGCCCAGTCACAGTGTGGACACTTGAAAGGACGATGCACCGTGTCATCCACTACATGTTTTTTCATTGTGACAAAAAGTCGAGAGATTTTCTCGTTTCCATTTACTTTGTGTAGTGTTTTTACAGGCCTGCTTTTCTCCCACCTGTTGTCCTTGATCCCCCCTCCACCCAGAGTTGGTTCCTGTTTCTCCTCCAGCTCAGATGGCTGTAGTTCAGCTGAGGAGTCCTCTCTTACGCTGAGACCTCGCTCATGTTTGGAATTATTACTTTGCGTGGCATTCAGAAGTATGCTCCACTTGTGGTTTTTGCTGTTTTCAAGAGAATCACTGAATTGTGACCATTCTTGAACATTTGGATCTTGGTTCTTGCACAACCCCACAGTTTTTTCTCCCAGAGTCAGGTCAGGAAACCTCTCCACCAGAGACAGTCTGGGTGTTCGAGGGTTCAGATAAAGAACCGGAACATCGTCGCTTCCTGAACCTGAATCCATATCCGGGTTATTACTGCTGATCCCATTGTGAGAGTTGAATAGTGTGTGTTCGTCTTTGAGTTCCTCCCAAGGTTCCTTGCGACCCTCTGTGATTAATACTATTTTGTCTGCCATTGCCGAGGTCATGAAACAGCACAGCATATCCTAAAATGATAGGGAAATAAAACAAGAAATAAGCCTTAGACGATTTAATTTATTGTAATGTTAAGCAAGTAAACGTGTGCAGGTTCAATTCCACCAGCTGTCAAGTTGCCATTGAGTCGGACTGAGCATGCCACCGCAGGGGTGCCTGAGCTGCCCCTGTTCACCATGGTGATGGGTTAAACACAGAGGTTACATTTCATTGTGCGTCAGGATGACAAGTAAGTCACTTTGATTTTCTTTCTTTTTTAATTTTAACCAAAGTTAATGCTGTTAACTTTGGTTAAAATGAAACCAAACCAGTGTGGGAGACTCATCTCCCACTCTGAATGCAATAAACAACCTATATTATATGATTTTATTTACAGTTAAAAAAGAAATCAAAGAGAAACCACTTACCCCAAGATCTGTTTTTCAGCAGGTTGAATCCTGTAAGTAGTCATAAACTATAACCCCCAGTGTCTATATGTGAAATTTCCAGGGGTGTAAGGGGAGGAACTTGGCAGCTGTCACTTCCAAGTCAGCGTATATCCTGCTCCTCAGCAGCAGGCAGGATTCCGTGAGTCTGGCTCGGTTTTCTTTTCCACAGCTCATCTTACTGAGCTTGTGAGGTACAGCTTGTAGATTATCTACCGTTCCAGCTATATATGTATGTAGCTCTATCTACTGTGCATCTCATATGCACATAAACATAAATACATCCATCTATTTAAACAGCTCAAAGACAAAGCACACTAACCAACACCAACTACACACATAAGTTTTCACTTCATTTATAAAATCTGAAAATATTGACCAATGGTAACACCTACTGGCCAACATTCAAAACACTGTAGTATTATTAATAATTAACCACAGGAAACAGAAGTGGCAGTGGAAACAAACATGTTGGAAAGTGGATCTAATCGTGTTTATTGGTGAAATTAAATGTCACAGGACAAAATCATTAATGGAAAATTTGAGTTCCTGATGTTGAGCCACAACTTGATAATTAACGTGCTTTGGGTGCTATTTTTTTTTTGGGGGGGGGGGGGGGGGGTTTAAAAAAGACTAATGTGTTCAATCTTCTAGAGGAAAGACTGAATATAAAAATATTGCACAAAAAAGCAGGAAACATGATGATGGCAGAGATAACAGAAGCCCATTTATCTCTTTATGGGCTGAAGGGCAGAAGAGTGGAAGCAGGTGAGCTGAAGGTGCATATTACTCTTATACTTGTTCAACAGCTCCTCCAGTATCCTGAAAATAGAAATGAAAATTTCACAGTGAGATCACAGTAAAATACTATACCAATAAGTTCCTGAACAAATCTCAGAACATAAAAGTTTCTCAAAAATGATTAAAAATACACTCATTTGCTTTGAAATATTTAGCTATGTCCATTTCTGTGGTTAAATTCAGAAAAAATATACTTTTTCAGTACACCAACCTTTGATCACAGTAAAATACTATACCAATAAGTTCCTGAACAAATCTCAGAAAATAAAAGTTTCTCAAAAATGACTAAAAATACACTAATTTGCCTAAAATACTTAGCTATGTCCATTTCTGTGGTTAAAATTCAGAAAAAATATACTTTTTTGGTACATCAACCTTTGATCACAGTAAAATACTATACCAATAAGTTCCTGAACAAATCTCCGAAAAAAAAAGTTTCTAAAAAATGACTAAAAATACACTAATTTGCCTTAAAATACTTAGCTAGGTCCATTTCTGTGGTTAAAATTCAGAAAAAATATACTTTTTCGGTACCCCAACCTTTGATCACAGTAAAATACTATACCAATAAGTTCCTGAATAAATCTCCGAAAATAAAAGTTTCTCAAAAATGACTAAAAATACACTCATTTGCCTTAAAATACTTAGCTATGTCCATTTCTGTGGTTAAAATTCAGAAAAAATATACATTTTCGGTACCCCAACCTTTGATCACAGTAAAATACTATACCAATAAGTTCCTGAATAAATCTCCGAAAATAAAAGTTTCTCAAAAATGACTAAAAATACACTCATTTGCCTTAAAATACTTAGCTATGTCCATTTCTGTGGTTAAAATTCAGAAAAAATATACTTTTTTGGAAATGTCAACTTTTGATCACCCTTAAATACTATACCAATAAGATCCTGAACAAATCTCCGAAAATAAAAGTTTCTCAAAAATGACTAAAAATACACTCATTTGCCTTAAAATACTTAGCTATGTCCATTTCTGTGGTTAAAATTCAGAAAAAATATACTTTTTTGGAAATGTCAACTTTTGATCACCCTTAAATACTATACCAATAAGATCCTGAACAAATCTCCGAAAATAAAAGTTTCTCAAAAATGACTAAAAATACACTCATTTGCCTTAAAATACTTAGCTATGTCCATTTCTGTGGTTAAAATTCAGAAAAAATATACTTTTTTGGAAATGTCAACTTTTGATCACCCTTAAATACTATACCAATAAGATCCTGAACAAATCTCCGAAAATAAAAGTTTCTCAAAAATGACTAAAAATACACTCATTTGCCTTAAAATACTTAGCTGTGTCCATTTCTGTGGTTAAAATTCAGAAAAAATATACTTTTTTGGAAATGTCAACTTTTGATCACCCTTAAATACTATACCAATAAGATCCTGAACAAATCTCCGAAAATAAAAGTTTCTCAAAAATGACTAAAAATACACTCATTTGCCTTAAAATACTTAGCTATGTCCATTTCTGTGGTTAAAATTCAGAAAAAATATACTTTTTTGGAAATGTCAACTTTTGATCACCCTTAAATACTATACCAATAAGATCCTGAACAAATCTCCGAAAATAAAAGTTTCTCAAAAATGACTAAAAATACACTCATTTGCCTTAAAATACTTAGCTATGTCCATTTCTGTGGTTAAAATTCAGAAAAATTTACTTTTTTGGAAATGCCAACTTTTGATTACACTGAAATACTATACCAATAAGATCCTGAACAAATCTCCGAAAATAAAAGTTTCTCAAAAATGACTAAAAATACACTCATTTGCCTTAAAATACTTAGCTATGTCCATTTTTGTGGTTAAAATTCAGAAAAAATATACTTTTTTGGAAATGTCAACTTTTGATCACCCTTAAATACTATACCAATAAGATCCTGAACAAATCTCCGAAAATAAAAGTTTCTCAAAAATGACTAAAAATACACTCATTTGCCTTAAAATACTTAGCTATGTCCATTTTTGTGGTTAAAATTCAGAAAAAATATACTTTTTTGGAAATGTCAACTTTTGATCACCCTTAAATACTATACCAATAAGATCCTGAACAAATCTCCGAAAATAAAAGTTTCTCAAAAATGACTAAAAATACACTCATTTGCCTTAAAATACTTAGCTGTGTCCATTTCTGTGGTTAAAATTCAGAAAAAATATACTTTTTTGGAAATGTCAACTTTTGATCACCCTTAAATACTATACCAATAAGATCCTGAACAAATCTCCGAAAATAAAAGTTTCTCAAAAATGACTAAAAATACACTCATTTGCCTTAAAATACTTAGCTATGTCCATTTCTGTGGTTAAAATTCAGAAAAAATATACTTTTTCGGTACCCCAACCTTTGATCACAGTAAAATACTATACCAATAAGTTCCTGAATAAATCTCTGAAAATAAAAGTTTCTCAAAAATGACTAAATTGCTTTAAAATACATAGCAATTACAAAAATGTACGGTATAAATTCAGAAAAATATACCTTTTTGGTATATCAACCATTGACCACAGTAATATACTAAAATAATAGTTTCCTGATTAATTGACAATGCGTTTTCCTAAAGACATGCATGAAACTTACTTCTTGTCAGATCCACTGTGTATCTGAGGTATGGTTTCCAGAGCTTGGTTGAAACAACTCCTGTATGACAAAAAAAAACTGTCTTACAAATAGTGTACATGTCTAAACGTAACCTTTACTCTGGACAGACTGTCACAGTCTTTTTATTCCTAATGCTACTCTGACCATAATTAAATTCTAATTACCCACAAAATGTGGACAAAGTGCCACAACAACGTTATTAATCTAAATAACAAGGAAGTATACATCCACAGAATATCTGTGCCTCGTCCCCCAAGGTGGTGAGTTCCTCAAAAAAAATGTTTCAAGATTACTGATACTGTATGTAGGTGCCACTGTGTTTGTGTCTCTTGTGCAGCACTTACTTGCTTTCAGCATTTAGGTATGAAGCTAAGGCATCTCTGAGAGCAGAGATTTCAAGATGAGCCTGAAGATAGAAAAAGATGGATTGGGAATGAAAGGAAACATTGATTAGGCTGATATATTTATATACTGTATATAAAATGTAAATTAATACAATGTCAACTCATCAACCAGGGGGTTTGTATTTGTTTCAGCTGCATGTACCTGCAGGGCTCCATTTCGGCTGAAAGATGAAACACACTGCATAATACGACACATCTCATCTGCAACAGACTCAACAATCTTAGACAAAACCCGAGGCACCAAATCCTTAGAGACAGAAAAGACCTGAGAGAAAACGAGAAAAATAAAAGGTTTGCCATCAATGTATCAGGAATATGAAATGTAAGTCATTTTACGCAAGCTTTCTAACCGACTAAGATAACTTATTGTTCTGTTTCTGTTTTCCTCACATACAGCCTTGAGATAAATCGCTTACCATTCGAGCCTTACCTTTACATGGTCAGTAATAAATTAAAATATAAATAAATAACTGTTAAGTTGAAGCATTAGGCTGGTGAGCTGGATCCCAGTAGCTGCTAATCTCTTTTATACACTTAACGTTTTTCAATAATCAGACATTACGTTATTTGTGAGCAGGAATAAAGTCAAATTGCAGTTGGACAATTCACCTAAAAGAATTAGAAGATAATTCAGCAGCAGCCTACCTCAGCGTGTACTGCAATGATGTTGACCAGAGCTTCTTTAAGGTAGTTCCTCACACCTGATGAAGAGAAGACCAAAAACCACATCACAAGCCAGGTAAGGGAAATAAAGACATGAGAAAAAACAAGATTCCAAGAAGGTATCTGAAGTAATCCTTAATATGACAACTATATATATTATACATATACTACTTTAGTACCTACTTTGTTGTTTAGTACCTACTTGTTGTTTTTGCTACTTGATTGTTTGATATATTGTCTTCTACTCTTTTTTGCACCAAGTGAGTAGCGCTCAAATCTCGTTGTACACTGTACAAAGACAATAAAGGCTATTCTATTCTATTCTATTCTATTCTATTCTATTCTATTCTGTTCTATTCTATATATATATAAACTTTACTATGAGCAGTTAAAACTTCTGGAATTTCCCTGCTATAAAAAAACAATGTAGTTCCTGAGAAAGGTTTAATCAGACAGAGACTCTGCTGCTGCTCCAAACCTGTGGGTGCTGGGCAGTGTCTCCAGTCAAACCATCCATTGTAGATGCCAGGCTCCAATGAGCCTGTGATGGGGTCAGCACGTCTCTCAATGTAAGTTTCAAACAGGTTGTGGTCCAGTTCTCGAACAGCATCCATGCTCACCTGACAGGTAATCATCAGAAGATACACAATTAATAAAAATATAATAACTTACCAAAGAGGAAATGAATCTTCAGGCAAATAAAATATGTAGTCAGACACTTTCATGAACATGTACGTATAAATATTTTCTGTCAATTATTTTCTAATGACTTATGATGTATTGGTAATTAATAGATAAAGTAAATATAACTCACAAAGAACCGACATGTAGCTCAACACATAACTGAAGAACATTGTGAGGCAGAGCTGCTGAATATATACTTAAGCAGTTTAATTATGTAAACATTTATGCACTGACTCGTGCGATCTTCTCTGCTCCTGCGAAGCTGTGTGTCTCAAAGTGATTGATCAAGTTCAGAAAGGTGTGTCTCTCCAGATATTGGCAGTTACTGAGGATGATCAGCAGACGCTGTTGCTGCAAACACATGAAATACACGGCTTTACTAATACGCTGTCATTTCCCAGCTTGGGATCAATAAAGTATATCTAACGATCTATCTAGTGGTACATTTGAAGTTTCCAAATCCATCTAAATTTTACATTTCTGTATATGTAGCATTAAGGAAAACATTTAGGCAGGTTAATACATTTGTCAAAGAAAAGGTCCGGTGGTATTTGTTTGACAAAAAATATTTACGGTAAGTCACAATATGTAGGTAGCCTCAGACTGAGGACTACTACTACAACTACTACAGATATATTAGAATCTGTTGTATTAAATGGGCGTAGGCAAAGAGTCCAATAATCTGTACAGTATGTATGGAAAACGAAAACTTAACTAATAGTCATTAATACTAATAAAAATAATACACAGCGTAGCTGCCAATTTTTCTAATACAAATACTATCATTCTTTATTTAAAAAAATGATTAATGATAGTGATGCTTACAGAGGTTGGACTGCAGCCTCCTTGAATGTTGTTAAACCAATCTGAAGATGATGAGCCCAACACGACCTTGCTGTGTAACATAAAGTAGTTGTATGAACTACATCATTTCCACAAACAAGCACACGCATACACTCTCTCGGACACACATGCGTACACACAGAAGTTTAACTTACTGAGATTCATTGATGCCATCTGTCTTGTTACTCAGTTGCTCTAGGCAGTTGATGAAAACCTGAGTTGAATAAATGTATTTCAGGGTTAGATGTAAAAACAGCCTAATTAAATGTTATTCTAAAGACGAGACAGAAAAGAACAAATGTCCAAATACAATTTCTGTATAAGAGACTAAAAATCTGATACAACCAAAAAGAAAAAAAATAGAGAACAGTAACTGGAAGGATTGGCCTCTTTGTTGAACCCCACCTAGTAAAATGGTGGATCAAGTGGTGGGGTATACTGTTTAATAGATGTGGCATGAACCGTGAGGGCCTGCTGAAAACTGCGATTCTATTCCTTCAGAGTGTTCTTGGTTTCAGCCTCCTGAGGCTGGTAAGGATCAGAATTTGGGCTGTTGACACTGGCAGCCATAGACAGTTTGAGTGACAAGCGGCATTTGTGGTTGCAGGGTCAAAAATACAAGTCTAAGAATTGTTTGATGTGCCAATGGAAAATAATATAAGGTTATTAGATCAATTCTGGCCAATTCTGGCCATCTCCTGGGCAGTAAAAGACCCTTTACATAAAGTGTATGTGGTTAGTGTGCAGAGCTGTTGAAAGGGTGATTAGATGGTGGTGATATATCATATTGTATTTGGACCTCTGCTGGTGAACTTCGGTGTAGGTTTCCTCATTACTCAGTACAGACACGCTGATCTTTTACAGGTCTTGATACTCTAGGGCAGTTTTGGCTTACAGATCTTCACAACACTGTGTAGCTACAGCAGAAAGATTAAGTCTGAATACATTTTGGAAATAACATTTTGAATCAAGACCTGTTTACATTGCACAAGTGGTGTACATTTAAGGAATTTGACTACAGTGAAAAACACAAAGTAGTGTAAGGTAGACGCAGACAAAGGATCTTCTAGACTAAAGAATGATACAACAGGACTAACCTTTATGATGCTCACGCTGAGCTCAGTTGCCTGATCCTGGACCTGGTCTAACTGTAACACCTAAAGGCAAGAAAGTTAGCAACATATAACACAATGGTTAACATCAGAAAGGAAAACTAAATTGTCAAAATCAATTTTTTTCATAATTGCACATTACCTTATGCAGTATATAAAAACGTAATCATATGCAACAGGTCATATTGTCCAAGAATAAAAATGAAACATTTAATTATTGCAATGATCGCATATTTAATTTAATATAATCTGTTTATAACAATACAAAATACTTCTTGTTTGCTATTTAAAAATTCAGAGAGAAAATAATGAATATAATGTCCGAAGGAACTGGTTTTTTGTGACCCATGATGCAGCATTTCTATCTGGATTTGTCAATATTTTTAATTTAATTTAAAAATTTAAATTTTAAACACAGGCCTCAGTGCAATACATACTGTGATTTACACAACAGTATCTCCGGGTAACTCACATTGATCTCTCCCGGCTTCACTTCCAGAGGTTCACTAAGAGACTGCAGCATCTGGATCATGCACTGTTCAAACTGTGAAGGCTTTCCAAAAAAGAAAAAAAAAAGTTACACACATTTACACAAGCTAAAATAAATGCGAGGACTTTTCCATCTGATATATGAGCTGACATTAATTTGTAATTATGAAATTATATTAAAGAACTCCCATGGATGATTTTCTTAAAAGTGTTAATGGATTAAATTGAATTATTCTTACCAGGCTGGTAATTCCCTTATTATCTACGACCCAGTCCTCCTTGTCAGCAAGTCTCTTCACATCTAGTATCGAAAAAAGGATAAATATGTAAATCATATTTTTGTATTTAGACTTTTAAAAAGGAAACTAAAACTGTTGACAAACTACAAAATATAATAGAATAGACTAGTCTTTATTGTCATTATAACTAAAATAATTCTAATCCCAAATGTTAAACTGTGTTTTCAGGCAAGACATGAATTGGTATACTAATGTAAAATAGGTCTTTTAATTCAGACCAAACATTGTGTAACAGAGTTATCAAACCCTTTCATTTGATTTACCACAGCTAACAGAATATACGTATACAACCTGACCCTGTCATTTAAAGTTTTTAAGTTAACGTCGACAGTTGAACTTGCTCTGGCACAGGAAATCTACCCAGCTGAAGTACACAGTTAAATATAAGTTAACGTTAACATTTTATAAGTTAACAAAACTGACCTTCTGCTGTGTGCAGCAGAGTCACAATGAGGCAGTGAACTCTTAACTCCAGTAGCAGATCCTGAATCACTTGGAGCAAATCATTTGGAATTTCCATGGCAGACAGAGCTTCATGACAACTCCTGGATGAGAGACGACAAAGACATCACAGATCATTGCCAAGGGTTCATAATGTCACAGCAAAGAAAGTTCATGAAGTCAGTCTCAACATTTTTTATAATAATATCACACCTGACATTGTGAATAATTTGTGTGAGCCAAGGTCCAGTAATTTCAGTCTTGTTTTTCCAGCATCCATAACTGCTCATCTCCTCCCGTGACAGGGTGGTGGGCAGGAGAGCTCCTCGAATCAGCTTCACCAGTTGATTGGTAACTTCCTCAATCATTTTCTACAATTCACAAAGGCACAAAGAATATAATTAGGAACTGTAGTAGGTTACAGCTAGCAGAACACAATATAATTAGGAAACAGCTGTTTAGAGAAGTGACTGTAGTAGGTTACAGCTAGCAGAACAACCAGTTATAAATATAAAGGAACAACATTTTTTAAGGCAAACAAACTTAAGCATTTTATTTGATTGCATTATTAATTACTGTAAACAACCTTGATATTTAAATAGTTTTCTAGTGAACTGATGACCATTTTAGTATTAATTAGTGCAAGAGCAGCCTGTCGACTGGTTTAAGAATTTTGGTTGGTAATATAGTTGTGTGTTTGGAAAGGAGAAGAAAGAAGAAGAAAAACTGACTATACGATTTGATCCGTTGGTTTAACATCACACTTCCTGAAACCAGGGCAGTGGGCTGCGCTTGCACTGAACCCATAAACCTTCTAAATCACAGATTCTAACTTACCTTGAAGTCATTCTGTCTCTGTCTGGCATTTCTCTTGAATTTCTCCACTTGAGCAGATTTCTCTCCAGTCTATCAAGAATGTGAAGAAAAAAACACTGGGTTATCAACTATTCCAAAAAAGTACAATCTAGAGCAAAACAAGATCACAAAAACAGGGTAAAAAGAAGTTCTTCTAAAAATGCTCATCTTAACAATTTTTTGATGCCGCAGTGTATCTGTATAACAATACCTGTCAACTCAGGTAAAACAAATATATTCCTCTTCAAATTATTTTTCATATTATTATCATGCAGCTCAACTATCCCCAATAGTCCATCCCGTATCCTTTGTAGTTTTCAGAAGGCATCACTAAACTGAGCAGCAAATAATAATAATAATAATTATAATTAAAATAGTAATATACCGGTATATATGACTCTTTAATTACTATTTTGTAATTCACACATGGTTTATGATTTTGTGCATCAACTGTGTAGGTACCATGCAAATTCAAAAAATTAATTTTCCATTTAGGACTTGATAAATGTAACTTTAATTAATGAATTAACCACCATTTAATCCTTTGCAAGGTTGTGGGGCAGCAGGAGCCAATCCCAACTGTCAACAGACAATGGCAGGGGCTACACCCTAGATAGTTTCCAGTCCATTGCAACAACAAAAATACCATGTTATAGCTTTTTGTTCAAGCTGCTAAATTATTTACCTCACTGAAAAGACTCCCGTTAACATAGGAGATCCAGAGCTTCCAGAAATTCGGGAGCTGACTGATCACCACATCTGTCAGCTTCTCAACAAACTGGACCTGTTGTGGGGTTTCAAAGTCCCATGCTGGTACATAAAGAGGCAAAGAAAAAATTGAAAAAAATAAATTAACTCATTAAACAGTGATTGTGAACTGCACAAAACAACAAAAGGTCCTCACTGCCATGTTGTGATGTTTGCAGGCTGTCCCGCCTCTTTGAGGATGCAGCAAGGCTAAGTCTGCCAGGCGTTACATGACAGGTTTCGCCCTCTAGGTCCAGGGTTCCACTACTGACTACAGGTGAACAAAAAAGGGGAAGAAGCAATTTGTATCAAAACAGATTTCTACAGCCTCTGCCGATGATTAGGGGCTCCTCACAGACGTAAAGTACCATGACAAAAAAATAACAACACTATACACAGTAGGTAAAACAACGATCTGTTTACAGGGCACTAAGCTGCTGCGTCTTAACACACTGCCATACTAACCACAAATAATTTACATGTGGTTGACTGTTCCAATTCAGTTGTTAAATTCTTATGAGATAGAATGTCAAGCCCTGACACCCACATCTAGAGAGAGCACTCTTTTACGTCTGTATCATAATAGTGATAAAACTCCTAAACATTTTACTTTTTCTTTTTCAGTGCCTAAAACATACCTTTCTGGCCACTGATGAATTCATTTCTGCAGTTCAGCATTAGTTTCAGGATCCAACTGTGCTGCGCGTTAATGCACTGCCAGGCTGGGTCACCTGGGGTACGAAGGTCAGAAAGGTACCTGCGCAAAAAATTAAACATTAAGTTTTGGTGCAAAAAGATTAAAAAACAGAATATTTCTGTGAGTAACAAATCCAACACTGAGATGTTAAACATTATTGTTTGAGCCTCTGTTCTCTTTTCCTTATGTGATTTTATCATGGGATACAACCACATTGATCTAAGAGTATTCAGTACTGTATTATACTGTCATGTACTATACCAATATTGTATGTGCATATGACAATCTTTCAAAGGAAATCATGTATTCTGTAGAAACTGTCCTTTTTTTTTATATATCATAAAGTATTGTTTAAAAAGTAGTTTATTTGTGTATATAAGTAATAAGTCAAAAGTATGCATTACCTAGTACATGGGTTTGTGGTATTGTGATTTCACCCAGGGTGTATTTTAGTTTTTACCTGATTTTTTTTTAAGGCAGAATTCTCTCTGAATGAAGTACTCAGAGCTTTTTTCTAATTCTGAATTTGCAAAAATCAGCCCAGTATATGAAACATTATATAAAAATAAAATGTTAGTACCTGATGTAAACCTTCTGGTCGTGCAGTGTAGATGGTGTCTGCAGCAGTTTGGTCACTAACAGTCTTCTCAAAGCTCCAATTCTTGTCTCAACCTCATCATACACTGCACAGAATACACAAAGATAACATTTAAATAACGACAAATTATTCAAGTCTGTGGACTAAATTTTATTGGTTTAATTTCCTGATGTAAAAAAAGTGATAAGTTACCCTTTTTAAAGACGGGGACCTCAGTTTTACCAAAAAGAGATTTGGCCTTTTCATAGTCATTAATCACCACATCATAATCTCCCTGGAAAAGACAAGAAAAAAGTCACTAAGATGAGTGCTGCGACTCAGATTAGTTTTTTTTAAATGGGCAATATTTTCTTAAAAAAAGGTGACTAAATCATTTATTGGGAGAAGAGAGAAAGTTAACAAAATGGAATTTAAAATATTTTAATTTTGGATATATTGCCTGGTAGAATTACTATTCTTTTAATAGCTCAGGTTTAGACTCAAAGGACACGCTTTTTATTTTTATTTTCTCCTGTAACAGTTTCCTATACTTCAGTGAATGTGTCAGTGTGGGTTACCTTTTGAATATTCCGTTCAATGCTGAGTGGAAGACTAAAAAGAAATTTAAAACGTTGGAGGACGTTTAGTGCGTTGCGTGTGGAGTCAGCTTTGTCCTTCCTCCCCAACACTTCCTGGAAGAGGGTGTCTGCCGTGTCACTGGCTCCTACAGGAAACATAGCAAGGTGAACAAAGTGTCCCAAGAGTTTGACAACAAACATGAGCAGTAGGTGGTTCAAATCGAACAGTACGAAGATTTTGAGTTTGTAGTATTAGACGTGGGTTTCCACGTCTAATACTGTGCACCTTAGCTTAAATCTTTTTTTTTTTACAAGTCTTTTTTTAAATACAAAATAAAAAGTTCTGCAAAAGAACATGATCTCAGAAGATTTTAATTTGTGTACACTGTTTTTATAATATTTTATTAATATTTAATATAAGATTAGAATTATTTTCCTGTCAATTTATTGCTATTTTGTAAGTGATAAACCATGTTAGTACAAGATATCCAACAAAGTATAGTCATTACCTGCACAATAATTAAACATATTGAAAAAAAACCCAAAATTAATTCTAAGTGAGAATTTAATGAAAGAGATAAAAAAATAGTTTATAATAACATTCAATCATTAAAAGCACTGATTTGGTAGTATCCGATTGTCTTACTGTTGAGGATGCTTTCTAGTTGTTGAGTCATTGATCCTTTGACTCTCTCAGTGCCTTCAGACTCCAGTCTCTGATGTATTGCTGAAAAACAAATTAAATTAACAATCTTCCGCATTACTGCACAGCTATTCGCTGCTAATTAAAAATCTCCAATAATTTTATTAATTTATGAGAAGAGTAAACTTATTAATAAAGGCCAAAGGATCGCTGGTGGGACATATTAAACAATGACACAATAATGACTGACCTGCAAGTGCATCCTGGGCCTCAAAGAATGTACTGAGGCCTCCTTTCACATAGGCAAGACTCCCTTCATTCTTCTTGGCAGATTGTTTCTTCAGGTTGCTTGCTGCAATCTTCAACTGCTCAAAACTAAGAAAAAATAAATAAATAAAAGGCACAGTGGTAAAAACAAAAACACTTTATTTGTCAATAATATCAGGGACAAATGTGCAAATAATTTGTTTTTATTTATAGGCGAACCAAATGTGAAAATACCATAACTCAATTAAATCAATGCTAGGCACGTCCACACATCAAGTTTTCGTCAATAAAGTAACTTGACCAGTAGAGGGCTCCAAACATATTGAAAAACTAACCACAGATTTTCTATTCATTCTATTTTCTTCAAAAATGTCTGTCTCTTCAGGTAAATTGTAAGTCACTTTGGATAAAAGCGTTTGCCAAATGTAATGTGCATCAATGAGCCTTCTTTGACCTTTTTACACTACAATATGTACAGTGACCACACAAATAGTAGAGCAGTTTTAGTTTTAGAGATGATGTGACCCAACTGTCTGGACATTTTTAACTCCTTTACCACATCAAAAAAAGAATTGTTCATAACTGCTTGTAATGTGCAGTGCATGTGTAGGTGCTAGAGAACCTACCTGGATCCTTCATGGTTCTCAATGAGGTACCAGGTGGCAGAGAAATTTTCATTGGTAAAGTCTCCGCTCATCCCTGGAAACGTCTGGTCCATGTGAGTCTGAGGGACTTTACCTCTGGGACAGACAGGAAGGAAAGGTGGAAACAGTTTTAGAGCTAAGACAATTACATTTCTATAGCTAATTAGAAAGAACACTGATATTTTTCAGTATGCACACTTATAATTACAAAGGTTACTTTTTTCAGCTGCTTGGTAAGAATTTGACATGAGATTGCAATTTATTGGTTCACAGGCATATTTTGATCTCAATATCATCCAAAGTACTTTTCTATTTCGATGCCCAGTGGATTACTGGGTCGTAGGGAGAGAGGAGAGATTCCTTTGTTGCGGTCGGCCCTCATGTCGTAGTAGTTCATCTCATTCACCCACACAGCAGACTGATCCAGGATACCTGTGGGACGGATACCAAACACTTCACAGCGCTGTACAACACTTCCCAAAATATGTCAATAATCACAGGGCCTCATAATGTTAAGCCGGTTCAGTAAACACCTATTTGTGAAAGTGATGATCAATTTATCCCTAAGTTTACCTATACAATTTAATGCTGAATTAAAGGCAAAACACAGTAAGAACAAATGTCAACTGTATACATTCTTAAAGACATTCCTACTGTATTGTTTGTTTCCTGTGTCTTACCAATCCTCTCTGGCCTCAACAGTTTGAATGACACTGTAGAAGTGCCAAGTCCACCAGACTTGGTGGTGACAATGATCTCTCCCTTGTCATCTTTGGCAGGACCCACACGGCACACTATCTTACTGGCTGACATCCACTCTGCTGTGAGCAGACAGTTGTGGCCACAGATGGACAGGCCTGACAGAACAAAACAGGGAAGTTTGAAAAAGTGTCAGGTCAAAAGTATGACCAATGTAATACAATACAGACAATATAGGAAAACGTTCAACACACATAGGTAACAACTAAACTGAACTATAGCATTTTAAAGGCTGTGTTGCAGTACATTTTGATTATCAATTACCAATCAGGTCTGCAGGGCCTGTGCCAAGGTTTTCACCCCGAATGGTAACTTTGGTCCATGATGGTCCCTCTTTGGGTGAGATACCTGTGACTAGTGGGGGTTGAAGGACTCGAGACATGGCAGCTTTTGGCAAACAGTAACCCAAGTTAAATTAGTACCTAAACAAAAAAAGCAAACAATGGGAACAGAAATTTAACACAGAAGTAAACATGAAGCACGTGGTGATGTTAATTTTTTATACAAGCTAATTAAAATTTAAATTCCAGTCTGTTAAATATATACATTTGCTCTCATTTCACAATTGCTGAACTTTAAGCAGAAGCTAAAAATCAAAACAGACGGGAGTTCAGATAGAAAGCAGTTTCTCGTCTGTACTTGTTATTGGTACCAGCAGTTTGGATCTTATTAAATAACCAGGACACACTGCCCACAAACAATAAAAAATAATACTGACAACACGACACTGATAATTTACAAAAACAGATAAATCAGCGCAATCTTTTCTTCTGTAATTCTCGAGTATCCCAAACAACAGGGCCTAGTGTGCTAAACGCTTCATTACATCCAAATGTAAACATTAAAAGGTAACACGTTGCCTTAAGTTATATGTTGTTATGTCATAATGTTAATGTCATGATGTTATGTCATGAGTTACTCCAATAATGAAACATGTTGTGATAAAAACTCGTGCATTAAACATTCACAGGCAGACAAAGAATAGATCCGTGCAGACACATCGTATTGCTTACACATTTGTTTATAATGGCAATTTTCGCCGATATTTTAATGAAACGCATTGGAAAACGATGTCAGTTTATTTTATTCATTATCGAAAATAAACTGTAGTTTAAACAAGGTAAATTGTACATTACAGAGTCTAGTTGTGCTCCTGTTTTCACTTATTAGACTACTATTTTACTGTCATAAAATAAGGATGTAGCGAAACGACAGGAAGAACATGACTTAACTCTATTTGTCCAATTGACGGCATCAGAGATCTGTAAACATTATGATTATCTACGTATATGTGCATAAATCGAATTGTAGCGAAGCTATCGTTAGCTATCGTTAGCTTGAGCTGGCCTGTTTAAAGCACTAAACACGATACATTACCTGGAAGGTTTAACAACGCCTGCTACAAGTTCTCATCTTAACCATAAGTAAGTTATCCCTCTGAAGAACTAAGTAAACCGAAATTGTATTTTCAGCGGCGTATAAAAAAGGGACTTACAGTAGGACTAGCTTAACCGACGCTACCATTCCCTTTGTTTTGGCGTCTTCTCTTCTTCGTTTTAGTTTGTTGGCAACCGATGTCCATGAAATAATTGTACTGCCACCTGCTGGTGGTTATTTGTAACCTACCTTTTACATTTATATTATATATATTATTTTATATTCACCATTTAGTAAAAATGTAAAAAAAAAAAAAAGTACTTAAATGGGAATTTTATAGAAAGCTTATATTTGAAACACACAAGGGCAGGTGAGAGAAATTTCTTCAAAGCTTGGAGTTTATTTCGCCAAGTACAAATTTAAATCAATATTTGACCCATGGATATAATCTCAGAATATAAAGTATATAAAATAGCCACTTTATTTTCACCTTCTAAAACGTAAAAAAAATACAAAACAATTACTTCTCCCCTAACATTATATTTTAATGGAATGTGAGACTGCTATGCTGTGTGATGGTAAAATAAAATCATTGACAGGTTGATGAGGAAAAACAAATCAAACAAAATACATAGTTTACATTGAAGATTTTTTACCGCTATGTGAAGACAAATAATTTATCAAGAAATGTTCAACAGCATTATGCTCCTTCATTTACTGGAGTGTTAGAATGGTTCCAGGCTGGACGGTCTTCAGCTTCAGACTCAGGCATTTGGGTTATTCTTCATCAGTTCAACGTCGGCGTCCACCATCTCCTTCACCAGATCCTGAAAAGCAAGTTTACACCATACTTTTTAGCCAACAGTGACTTAATGGTTTATATTATACTAAGGTGTATTACCTTGGAAGTATTTAAAATAACACACACACTCACATATATATATTTTATATATATATATATTATTATTATTTATATATATATATATATATATATATATATATCTAGAACATTCATCAGTGAAATGGCTACAGTAATAAAATCTTCATCTGAACCATTACAGAATGTACTGTAGATGGCGCTGGTCATCCCTGGTAACAATACAAAATTAGACAGAATTGGAATAGTGAAATATAAGCTATATAAACAGACACAGGGTAATGTTAGGCACAAATCGGGCAGATCAAATAATCATAAAGCTTAACCCTGACAAGAGAAGGAAACTAAATTTTGTTGTTAACCCTATAGTTACCACACTTAAGAAGACAAAGGGAAATCTTTGGAAAGAACAACTGATGAGGCCACACCCTTTAATAAACAGAAAAACTGGTAAAACCGGGTATAAAAAAAATAGGCAAAACACGGATCATGACAACCCTTTGTACTCAACTTCATGAGATGTTTGTCTGATTTGTAACCAGCATTTCTCAGTCAGTCATATCAGCACATACTGTAGAAACTACTGTCAGACCAGACTCTCTTCTAAATGTGCATTTTACATTATTTTTGTTTCAAAGAAATACTATGCTGTGTGTTTTTCCCCACATATGCGATAAAAATAGCTTCTGTTTCATTTTTAGAAAATGTACAATTTTTTCTGTAATATTCTTTGTATCACGTATCATGTCGTACGTACCTCAAAAGCCACCTTTGGTTTCCAACCTAGCTTCTGACTTGCTTTGGTGCTATCACCTTGTAGGTACTCCTGTTAACAAAGGAAAGTGTGGAGAAATGTGTTCGTACAAACTGTACACAAAGACCTAAATTATTTAGAGTACTTTCACATCTTTCAGCTTTCAACATTTTATGCTGTAAGATCACAGTCACACAGAGCATTAACAAAGGTGCAGTCAAAGCCTGGGTATATATATTCATAATTTTAAAAACGTATTTCATCCCAACATATAAATGCTTTTTCCCAACCCTAATTTCACACTCACAACCTCAACCACTACATACCACCTCGGTTGGACGGAAGTATTTAGGATCCACTTTTACATGTACCACCCCAGTTTCTTTGCAGCGTCCAACCTCATCCACGTTCTTTCCTTCCCACCTGGATAAAGAGGAGAGCCGTTCAAAAATTCAGTTGTGTAATTCTAATGATTCCATGTATGGTTTGTTTCTTAACATCATTTATGAACAAACCTGAAAACTGTTCCTGTGTAATAACTAAACAGTAGAAGTACTTTGAACTGACATAATACTAATGAGGTGAAAGGACTGTATATGAAATGTGGAGTAAACCTCCGTGTTTCAAGCCTCCTTCTAGCATTGTGATTCCCCTTGGCTTAGTCACGGGTAAAATGTGTCAATACTACAGTGAATAAAACCCTGTCTGAGCCCTTTGCCTAACAATTAGGTGTGTATGCGAACTTAGCACGGTGCATTCATGGTTTTTATTACATTGTTTGGAAATAAAAGGGTGTCTTACACAAGCAATTTGTTTTTTCATCTAAATGTTACACCTGTTATAGCCTATCAGGTTCATGAAGATTAAACTGTAAGTCAGCTGATGTCGACACTGTGGCGAGTTAAATATAAAAATAAGAATATTAAAAGCCTTTATGTGACTGCAGTTCTATGTGTTACTGTGTTATTGTATACAATTATTAATCATTAATTATTAATTAATATTATAATAATTATTGTTATTGTATTATTGTTATAATTGTCTATGTGTTATGTGTTATTTACATGTGTTACTCATATATCTACCTACGTGCATATTGATCTACGCTGCAGTGCTCCTGAGTTCCTATTCAGAGTAACCATGGTAACAATTGCAAATTGTCAAATTTGAAGTAAACACAATAATTCCCATTGGCTTTGGCTGGAGATCCTGTTCAAAATGGGAAACTCAGCCAACTCATTAGCAAACAAATGAATTTAAAAATTCACAATATTATTTAATGTGTTGTTTTATTTGTAAAAGTCTGACTGATACCAGTGTGTTGTTGTTTGTATACTCACACAATAGTCTTTCCCACGTGTTTGAAGGCCTTCTCTACAAACTCCCTCACACTATGAACCTCTCCTGTTGCTATAATGAAATCGTCAGGCTCTTCCTGCTGCAGCATCAACCACATGGCCTACAGGACAGGACACAGAGAGATGGCTTAGACATAATAATGCATGGCAGTCACATATACTGTATATAGGCAGCTAAACTTTTGTTCAACCTTTTAGGGTCTTTACTTGCTTTTTTGCTTTTTGTTTTAGTTACCTCAACATAGTCCAACGCGTGGCCCCAGTCCCTTTTAGAGTCCAAGAAGCCCAGACTGAAGTTTTCGATTTGGCCCAGATGTATTTTCGCCACAGAACGAGTGATCTTACGTGTTACAAAATTTGAACCTAGAAGAAGGTAGAGTCCATATTACATTTGTTTCAACTACTGAAGGCAAACTTAGTATCTTCTCCAGGTCATTTGTCAGTTTTTGATACTTAACGTATAACACCATAAATATAAACAAAAATGTATATAAGAAGATAAAGCCATAACTTCTCTTTTACTGTCCTTATAAAACTTCGATAGTGTTAAGCACAGAGTTAGATCACCTCTTCTTGGGCTTTCGTGATTAAAGAGGATACCATTGACAGCAAATAAGTTGTAGGCCTCTCTGAAGTTTATCACGATCCAGTAGGCATAAAGCTTTGCAGCACCTAAAAGAAATAATAAAAGAGCAAAGAAAGAGGGAAATGGCAAAGACATGGAGTATTAATTACAAGTGTTATTTGTGAAGTGCCTATATACTGTATATATACATATATATATTGTGCAAGTAAAGCAACCAGAGAATTTCTGTGTGGTCCTGGATGGATCCATATCAAAGTGACCATGTGTTATACCATAGGGTGAGCGAGGATAGAAGGGAGTGGTTTCCTTCTGTGGGATTTCCTGGACCTTTCCATAAAGTTCACTGGTAGAGGCCTGGTAGAATTTGACAGAGCTGATTAGACCACAAGTCTTAATTGCGTCCAGCAGGCGAAGCGTTCCTACTCCGTCTACATCTGCGGTGTACTCGGCCAGGTCGAAGGAGATCTAGAAGAAAGCAACAAAGGCAGGAAGAAACAGAGTCATTTCATCAAATATGAAATGATTTGATTATCTTATCACATTTGTTTTTTTGTAAACACTGAAAACCTTATTACACCATTCAGTCCACACTGTTAGGCATTCCTCATGAGCAGAAACTCATAATCTCCATTCAGGTTTGATGGCTTCTGTGCTGCAGCTGCCTTCCCTGGAACCCCTGATAGTGTTTGCTTTCAGGATGTTGTTGACAGAGAATGTCAAACAGAACAGCTCTGTGTTCTTGTCGGTGTAGAGAAGGCGTTTGATAGCGTGCCTAGAAAGGAACAGTGACACTGTATGGATGTGAGGATATGTGGGGGAGGTGGGTGATGTTTGCTGGAACAGTGAGACAGTGGAGGGGTGCATTTCTAGAGGGACAGATGGGTTCAAAGTAAGGTGTGGGGCTTTAGAGTGTAATTGGCAAGACGAAAAAAAGAACCTAAAAAAGAAGTCTGCCCTGAAGAGGAGAGAATTAGGGTAAGAGAGATTACACGTGTGCAAATGAGAGTGACAAAAGTGGTAAGGTGAAGCAAGGAGCAGAGGAAGCCATGGAGGAAGAGTTGATTACCTGCGGTCAAAGGATGTTGTTAAAGTTAAAGATGCAGGGTTGAGATGGTTTGGACATGTGCTGAGGAGAGACAGTGGAGATATTAGACAAAGAATGTCGCAGACAGGAGGAAAAAGGGAAACAGCTGAGGAAAGAATTCAGTGATGAAGTACATGGAGATTTTCATTAGATGGAAAATGATACGGTGAGATGGAGGCAGCAGAGCCGGTGAGGAGAGAAGCCAATAGAAAATACAACACAATGGTTTAGGAACTGTGAAGAAAATATTGGTTGATAAGTGATATTTTAAGATGCTTTGACAGAACCTGAATTATTAAAAAGTGTATGTAAAAAATAAATCATGCACTCAATTTGTTTTTTGTTTTCTTTTTTTCCACGTTTCTAGCTTTACTTTGTCAGTTGTGTATTTTTCATTACTTTAAAGTTCTTTAAATTAAATGTCATCTACATTTGCACAGGATAATATGGACAAAATACACTGTCCATATTTCAAAAGGTGGCTTGAGTTGTGATAATTAAGAGTTTCACATGGTAAGGTTAGGAATAATTGCTAAAAGGTAAACTTTTAGTTATACAGTAACCTATATTTCTTTAAATTTTAATAAACCATGTTAAAACTTATTTCAATTATCATTTGAATAAGTCACAAATAAAAACTCATACATGTAACTCATACATCTTCCTGCAGTCATCTATCTTTCTGCTCCAGCAAAATACAACTTATTAATCAGGATTAATCATGATTAACTACAACCCCGATCACTCGAGCTATCCTGTGATTAATGAAATGAAAATTTTAATTTTATTTTACAATGTACATTGCATTAGTGTAAAGTATAAACATCAAGTCATTTGTAAATGAAGATACGTCCTGAGCAGCACATGGAGCAGCTCTGACCAAAGAACAACGTTAACATGTGGGATTCCACTACCTTGACGTGACTCTGAGCCCCCAGGTTGTAGATCTCTGTGGGCTTTACTTCATTGATGATCTTCACCAGACATGTGCTGTCAGTCAAGTCACCATAATGTAGTTTCATACCTGACAAACAATGAACGTTGGATTTTCATGTAAAACAAGACTTACTAATATATATATATACATAAACTGAAGATTCTTTGTTTTTATCCTTTGTAGTGCTCCAGGTATAAAGTATTTTGTAGTTGACTATTCCATCAATTATTACATCAGCTTTCTCTGTATGTTTTGTTTCCAAGGTTAAAACTGGACCCTTACGTCCTGCTGTGTGTGCACACCGGTTCTGGTAGAGGTGCTCAATGCGACCAGTGTTAAAGGAGCTGGAGCGACGTAGAATACCATGAACCTGAGAGAGAAGAAGCAACAAGAACACATTTTTATTCATTTTCATCCCCAACCTTCAAGAATGTCAAATATATTACAGCAGCAGTACAAATCTAGGATAAACAAAGATAACATGGCCAAACTTGACAAAATCAGAACATCCTCACCACAAAAACAATGCTACCATTTTGTGGAGGTACAGTATGTCAAATTGACCAGATACGATACACTTTAAACACCTTTCTCCGTCACAGACTTTATTTTTTATTAATTGATTAATTTCTCAAAGATTTATAATAGGGCTAAGTGAAAACAGCTTGATAAAAACTGACAGCCTTTATACTCCAGCTGCTAGAGTCTGCTGCTAGAGTCTAGCATGTTGGTTAGTGCTTTAAAAAAAAGTATTTGTTTAGCTTAAAGTGCTTTATTTACGTTAAGGCCCACTGAACCATCACTGACACCTACTGACACCAAACGGTACTGCATTAAATCGTCAAAGACGGGACCAACACTGTGAATCAAAATCATAGGCTGCTTCTGTAACTAAAATGGTTCAGCGCAGCGTACACTTGAACAGGTTATGTTAGTAGTGTGGGACTTTGACTCACTATGTAGCCTTTTGCAATGAGGAACTCAGCGAGGTAGGAACCGTCCTGAAAGAGAAAAAAATGTGTTTATAGGCAGAGTGTCCCACATTGCTCGCAGCATCAAATATAAGTGCATAAACCTAATCCTCAAAGATGATCTCTGTCTGCATTGGTCAATATTTATCAAAAGCAAACAAAGAACAGCGGTGAACTAGAACAGGAAAATAAATTATTATAATTATAATAATAATGGTCCTATTATTATATTTATTACATTAAAAGTAATTTGCTAATGCAAATGAGGAAGGGGAGCCAGTAGTCAATGTATAAAAGACTCGTCCAACCACTCTTTTCACACCATTTGCATTGTCTATGGTAACTCAAACTTGTCATATTACGTCCCAGATTCCAGTGTTCCTTTTTTTTTTTTTTAATGTTCACAGCTTCTTTTGTGTGATACAAAAGCTTCTACAGTATATTTGGGAATGTCTCTTTCTCTGTCCATCTTTCCTCTTCCTCAAAGTAAACAAAGCAGTATAGTGTACATTGTGCCCAGCATTGGGGTATCACATTGATATGCTGACTTTTTTCACTTTTAAATGCATGTAGCCGAACTAGCTCGTCCGTGCTAGGAGCTTTGGATATACAGAAGGGCAGATGAATCACAGCATCGTGGTCCGTTGAACTTGTGAGTCTGAGAGGGTCCCGTTTGCTTGATGAAGCCCTTTAAATGTTGAATGTTATATGCCCTAACAACAAATGGAAAAAAAGATGTGGTCATCTCTTTCACCAATTTAGGACGATAGCCTCTTCTTTTTACTGCTTCAATATAAGTTATATATATGACTGATTGATTAGAATGTCTGTTAAATTTGGAGTCGCAAGGCCTGTTGAACAACAGCCCATAAACAAATAAACGCATCCGTGTCTGACCGTTCATACATGGGTGCCAGAAACGGGTGCAACTTTCTATGCATTTAACAAACCCTGTTGTGCTGCTACTTTTAATAATAATAATAATAATCATTTTGGATGCTCCATGTAGGTGAACTTAGTTTTTCAAACCTTAATCAAGGTTGGTTTTGTTGACCCATTGAACTTTGTTTGATAGACAAAAAGATGTTGAAGGTTGACCTACATGAATTGTTGCACCTTAGATTATAACAATAACAGATCAATTATTAATTAATCCAACAGCTAAAATTGTGTGTATAATCGTTGACTATTTACTGTGCGTACACAACATCAAATACAACGTGGCACAAAAACTGTGCGCCACCCTCATTCAGTTACTACCTTGGAGCGAGTGTTAACACTTTTTTTTTATGAAATGCACTTTGTCCATTGTGCAGTGATAGCCATATAAGGAGGCACAGCTTTCAGCTAAACTGTTTCCAAACAATATGTAAAAGTACATGGCTGCCACGTTTTATGCAAAACTTTTCATTACAATTAAAATGTAAATATTGTACAATGTGTAGAATATATGTCATCTGTGTCTGTGTCTAGAACCAATGTCTCACCTCTGCAATGAATCAATTACACTAAGTAATGAATGAAGATGAATGAAGGAATGAACGACCACGTTGTTTTGCATGGTATGGTGATTTACATGCATGTCTGATTGCTTAACAACACAATTCGTTTCACAGTGAATCGCTGCAGTTCATGGAGTACGCCAATGACAATGTGACTTTGTTATCTTTATTCCTTCCGGTGGGATCAGTAAAACTTTGTTGTTTTCATATCTAGTAAATCCTGATTAGAGACATTATCTCTCATTATCTATCAAAAGCTCATTTAATTTAAATTTACTACATAACTGACACCTAAAATATAAGATTGTTTTTTGTTTGGATTATTAGTCCTACTGTTGTTTATCATTAAAGTTAATAAACACTGAAGAGTGAAAATATTTTCCGACTACTCTTTAAACCACATTTTTGATAGACTTTTAATCATATGAACTTGATAGATTTTGGCAGTGGTAACGTACCTCGCTTTAAGGCTATTTTATATGAGCCTGATTGTCACTGATCTGTAATGTTACATTCCATTATTAGCCCCCTAGACAGCTTTAAATTAATTAATAAGATCTGCATGTTTACTGTCGTAGATTCATTCATTTAAAGTGAATGGAACAAGTACCTGCCCAGTGATGCCGGTGATGAGAGCCACCTTTCGATTTTCCTCCTTGTTCATCGTATCTCCAGAGCCCAAAACTTGAGTCGTGTTTTGGGCCATATCTTAAAGGTATTTTATCAGAGTTTGGTTACTTAGAGTTGAAGACAGAGACAGAATCAATGCAAAGCGTCTGTGTGTTGACAGGCAGTGTCTGCAACACTACAGAAACAAACACGTACTGCCATTCGATTTGTACCGGAAACATGATATGATCTGCGCATGTGCACAACATTGGGTGACCGGTACTTCCTGTTTCTAAGACGCGGAAAATTGTTGGCATGTTGGCATAAATGAATTACAGTTTGTTTTTCCTGCAGTGCTTGTTAAAAAAAGTTTGCAACCATTAAAGAATGAATTAGTCGAACCTGATGTGTTCCTGGTTCTGTATTTGTATTGTGCGTATGTATGTGAACATGCTGTGTGCTCAGAGGGCGTGTCTATTTGCTCACCAACGTCACACATATACAGTTCATACCGTGATGATAGCTGCCTGTTACATCTGACTGCATGAAATTACAGGTTTTATCTTTAGCTGTGGCCAGATCATTGAAGCTGCCATTGAAGCTTTTTTCGGTGGTAGCTTTTTTCAATCTCACATAACTTTCACTATTGTGTCTTTCGCTGTATCCTTGATCTTTTGCAATCTTCTTTGCAGGAAATGGCAAGGTTAGGTCTGTCTGGTTTATTATTCTTAAGGTCATATTATTGAATCTTAGATTTGGAAATAATGAATGTGCGGGGGTTGAAAAGCAACCAAGCAGGAAGCAGTTACCAGAGATGAATTTCATCAACAGCAAAACGGTTTGCCAACAGCAAAGAACCCTGATCTGTTGGTTTATTCAGAAGACATGCATAAGTCTAGTAACTAAAGTCAGAGTCTTGTGTGTCAAGAGCAGGTTATTCCACTCTCGTTGTCCTAGTGTTACGTGCCACCTACAGGATGTTCACACACACTGAACCTGTTTTATCAGCTTTATCAAATAATAATAATGACACTTCAAACACTGGCAACTGTAGTAGTTGTTCACCTCGTGTAGCCAAAGAACCTCTGCAAGAGTCACAGATGCATTTTTCTGAGGGTGTTATGTCTTCCTCATGATACTTGAACATCTGGTTTATGTTAGAAGATTTAAACTAGTCTAGTTGATTGACATTCTTGCAATTATCATATTCATCTTCAAAGGTTCTGCCAACTCTCTCAAGCAACGAACATTATGTCCTCATAGTTCTTAATGTGACTTTGTATCCTGTAAACGTTGACAGGGCAGCAATGAGGACAACATTTTGAATTAGACTAAAAAAAAGTGAGATTTGAAAATACAAAAAAGAAAGGACATTGCATCTATTGTTTCACTGTTTCTTTTTGTGGTATTGATGAATTTATTACAGTCGTACTCGTGTCTGTTGCTCCATGACACCCACATCGGTGTGGCCACAAAACTTCTATTTTGATGCATTAATCAGACATCCTACTGCTTCACTCTCGCCCTCATTATATAAATTGCAAAGAAGAAAAATAAAACTCCAGTAAAAATGCAAAACTAATTCATTAGTATGCAAGGGTTGTGGGGAGAGAACTGAAATAAGTATATTTACGAAAGTACTGGAAGACAATAAAGTCATTGGAATTACAACATTACAATGCTGTAAATGTTTTTTGCGACTGTAGAATTCTTATAAATATATATATAATTTTTTTTTATTTTGTTGTCCTATTACAATATGAATAGCAAAATACTCACCTACTCCATTTTGTTTTGCAAGTAAATTATTCCTGAATCCTAAGCCTCCTCCTGTCTGACTTAGGTACAGACTCTCTGGGATTCATTCCTTCACACAAAACAAAGCTGTCAAGAGAGAACAGATAAAATAATATTTTAGATATATATAAATATACAGCCTCATGTTTGACATAGTGTTCATATAGTAGTAAAAGAATATTGGCACGATCTCAACAAAGGATATAATATACCTGGAATCGTTGTAGTGTTTAAGGAATCTAGGAGTGGCAGAGCAGTAGGTTAGGGTTAACGAGGACATGTTCAAGTGTAGTGAGAAAGAACTGGAGATAAGAAGAATTTAAGGTCAGCAGAACCGTGACACAGTGTTATTTGTGTTAATGCCAGTGACGCAGGTGGAAAGATAAAGCTTTCAGTAGTGGAAGGTAAAAATGTCTTATTAAAATTAGCACCCAAAAGCAAATGCAAAGATAATTAAAAGCAAAGCAATAGATTAATCGCTTGACAAAGGATTGTTTCTGAGGGTGAGAGTCAGGCTTTTGATCTGTGAGGAGCTGAAACTGTTGTTAATCTGGATGGAGAAACGGTTTATTTTTGCAAGGGTGGATTCAATGCCAATTTCAAATTTATTGCTGTTTAGTTTGACGACATCAACAGAGAACCAGGAGCTGTTTGCCTGTAGACTGTGCTAGAGTTATATGGGGGGGTATGTATGTTATGTAGGTTTGCTAGACAGGTAGAGTTGGTTATCATCCATGTTGTGCTTCCGGAAAATGTAGAGGGAAGAGGTTGATAATAAATAAAGGGGGAACAAAGACAGGACTCGTCAGTTCAGAGGTGTGAACAGTAATAATCACAGGTATCTGATTCTGAAAAATGATTTGACTTGGTAGTGGAAAATACATTTTTGTTGGTAAAAGTATATTGTACATTTTGAAACCACTTTTTGTGAGACGGGGGCGCGAATTATTTCAATTTGCGGGGGTGATGGTCAGGGGGTGAGGGGTGAAAACATTTCTGTCCCTAAGGGAGCCCATGACAGAAAATAATTAAGAACCACTGCCTTAGCCGTACGTGACCATGAGACTAAGAGAACTTTAAATGTGGAAGAGAAGTGAGACGTGCAGCAAGGTGAGGGAAACAGGTGGTGATAATGTAGTGAGAGAGCCAAAAGGTCCAAAGGTCAACAGGAATCACACTTGTTGATTGTGTGTTAGTGGTTGCCAATGGCCACCATAATCTACTCAAACAAGATATGATCTCTACACCATCAATCAAACAGACATGTTCTTTAAGGTGTGTCCGAGGTCTGGTCTGGTTTCTTATTTTTTCTAACCAGAATGTGCCATAATAGACGGGGACATACAGTATGTTACTAGATTATGTCCCGCTTTTAACTAATGTGTACCATCCCAACGACCAATACTGGCTACACAGAAGCAGTGGGCTGCTGTGTTAGCAGTTTTGTCTGCAGACTTAAGGGAGTGTTTTATTGCTTGTTCAGGCCATAAAACCTTTTGTTCATTCACACGTCAAATCTGGGTTCAGCATTAATATCTCCTCGTCTGTGCAAAACTCTGGGGAGATTCCCAGTCGCCTCAATGTTTCTCCGACTTATTTGATCTAAGACCAGACTTTACTGGGACAATATCAGATCTGTTTGGCGTAAATCAAATATTAGGATAATTTACAGGTGCTTATTACAGTTGGTATAAAAATACATTTTGTTAAGAGATTTTTCTTCTTATCTATATCGATTATTTTGGAAACATAAATACACTGTTGTATAGCTGTATTTCTGGACACTTGGAAATAATATGTCATTTGTTGCGTTGCTATAATGGCAAAAAAACAAACAGAACCAAAAAAAAAATCACAAAGAACACAATGCTTTGTGTTAGTATTGCAGCTCATGCGTAACAGTGTGTGTTGTAGCCCAGCGCCCTCAAACCTATTTCTCTTTTTTCCCGTAGCTATCACACAAGGCCAGAATCCTACCCCACCTTATTGATAAAGCTGATTAAGAAAAATAATAAATAATCTATCACTTAGGTTTTTTTAAAGCTCACATTAGATGTCTCACTAAGTGCTCAGCTCCAGTTGGCTGCAGACCTAAGCTTGCTAATACAAACAAATCCACTGACCTATAATGTAATCTTCAAATTATGTGGTCCCACCCACAGGCTGCCTGTGTCTGTTGACTATAAATGTGGGGTTGTCCACTCCCCTCAGTCTCCTTTAGCAGAGAGATCCTCTTTTCTGTTTTCAGTTGTAATTTGATTTTCAGCAATCTCAGCCTACACGCCGGTTTGCACTGAGAGCAGGAAAGAGACTTCAGTGTATTTTCAGGTAAATACAACACACACATATGTAGCACGAGAGATGTTAATACTGTGTGTGTTTAAACAAGGCTAATTCCCAATGGTTGTCATACAGGAAATCCATACATTTGCAGCCATGGCAGGTGTCAGCGCATCAAACACCAACTTCGCTCTGGACCTGCTTCGTACTCTGAGCCTAGCCAACCCCGATGGTAATGTCTTCATCTCTCCATTCAGTATCAGCTCAGCTCTGGCTATGGTCTACTTGGGAGCTAAAGAGGAAACTGCGGCTCAGATGGCAAAGGTAAACCAAGTTTCACACTCCCTTCCTCTCTGGCTATTTTTACTTTAATTCAAATGTGTGAATACTGAAGGGTGTGTCCTCGTCTCATAACATGTGGACTCTAACCCTAACCAACAAGGCGTGCACTGTTGGCTAAAGGGAGTGGTTCTTTTCAACCCATGAAACCTGTGTGGCTTATAAAGCATTTTTATCCATTCATTTTACGTTTTGTTTTTTCACAATTTTTTAGTCGCTTCAGTCGCCTGTTGCCCAGTGGTTACATAATCCGACTTGATCTAAACTTTGATTGGAGGATTACCAATGTAAATGATAAAAGCTTTAAACTAAGATTTCAACTTATTTTGGGACGCTGACACAGGGTCTAAATATAATGGAGGTGTGTAAAAAAGGTACATAATCAATGTTGTAAAGTCACTGAAGTGGAAGTCAGGTGTTCCCTTTTTGTCACCAAGGGGGGACCAATCAGAGTTGGTGCAATCTGGCTTCACTGTTCTTTATGTCTGTGTTGATCTTACTGTGTGTCAATAAGGCTTGAGTACAGTATCTATACCAGGGATAAGTAGGTTATTATGTAGGAATAATAATTCTTATTCTTAACAAAGTAGTAGTTATAAAATAATATGGCCTGTCTAGGCATGCTCATCTAGGCCAGAGGTTTAAGCGCAGGTCAAGAAAATTTTAAAAATATTTAGAATACAGATGATTAAAAGTGTGATTTGAAGAATGATGATCTTTTTAATACATTCATTATTTATTTGCTGGCAATGCAAGTTAGATAAAGTGTCTAATAAAATAGACTAATGATAGGATCTGATAGGATCACAATAAGAGAGTCAGGAGAAGTGCTCATGGAAATGTTGGTAACAATATACTACTACTACTATACTACTTAGATTATCCCAAAAAAATTTCACTAAGCCTGAAAAAGTACTGCAACACTATATGCTACATAACAACACATACAAAAATATTCGTTTTGAGTAGATCAGAAAAGGCAACATAAAAATATTATCAAAAATAATATACTGTGCATTATATACATACATACATATACGTTTTAAACTTAAAAAAAACAATAAGACCAGATAACCTACCTGACTGAGGCTTGAACGTCACTGAGGAAAGATGAGTATTTTAGCAATGTTGCAAACTTCTCCGATGTCTGTGAAGCTTGTAGTGGACGTTCTTTTGATCCAAAGTCAAGGACAGGAACGTCCTTGTTCCGCGTTCCACCTGTGTTTTTATTACAAAGAGAGCAAGAACAAGCAAGAGAGTAGATAGAGTACATTCAAAAGAAATCAATGTATAAAAACGAACTTACAGAGACTTTTCTCAGGAGTCAGTGCCGATCTGGTAGCCTGCCTGTGCCAGGAGCGCTGACTCACCAACTGTCCTGAGACCTCTGAATTTATACAGACATACAAACAAGTTGGATGTGGGAGTGGGTTTTCTCTCAATGAACTTCCTCTGCATACATTCCCTCCTCATACAGTTTAAGACAAGCACTAGACGTATATTATCAGAAACAGTATTTTATACCAAGCTCACACATAGTTTAAGACGGGGAATTTGCATATATCATAAGAAACGTTAAAACACATTGCGAAAAAACAATAATTCAATTTGTGTGGAAACAACCTGTTACATGAGTTGGCATTCAAAGTAAAAGCTTTAAAACACAGAAACAGACATAAAAAAACATGGAAAAAATGAACACTGCAACAGAATACGTGTATTTTGGATGTTAGAAATATGTAGGAAGTTGAAGTTTGATTTAAAAATATAAACCATCACCCAAAATACAAATGAAATACATGGAAATATTGTGTTTTTTTTTCAGGTGCTGTCATTTGATGAAAATGTCCATGCAGACTTTGAAACACTTAACGCAGACATAAACTTACCATCCTCATCTTTCACCTTGAAAACAGCCAATCGTCTGTACGGGGAGAAAACAACTCACTTTTTGCAAGTGAGTATTTCAGCTGTCCCAGAGGAGAAGAGTTGTTTGAGGTAAATAGACTACAGATAAAAGATGGTATCCGTTCCCTTCAGGACTTTCTGGCAGCCACACAAAAGCACTACCAGTCTGATCTGAAGGCTGTAGATTTCATGGGAGCCCCAGAGGATTGCAGACAAGAGATCAACGGCTGGGTGGAGGAGAAGACCGAGAGTGAGAATTCAACAATTAACTAAATGAAGCGTTAAAGTCAAATTTCTACAGTGTAGGAGGTAATTCATTCATTTTTGCCGTTGTGAGTCAGCTGATTGTGGACGTGTCTATCTTCCAGATAAGATCAAAGAGCTTCTCAAGCAGGGAACAGTGACAACAATGACCAGGCTGGCTCTGGTTAATGCCATTTACTTCAAGGGGAACTGGATGTATCGCTTTGATGAAGCAAACACCAAAGAGATGCCCTTCAGAGTTTCAGTGGTAAACACTCTAAAACCCTTGACATCTCAGTGTAAATGGCAGAGATGATTTACCTCCGTCACCCCTGCTGAGACGCAGCTAACTTATTTCCGCTGAGCACCTGAATATATACACACAAAAGAGAGAAAAGACACAAAAAGGTGGAGCCGGTAATCACAAGGGAGCGAAACAGAAGGCAGGTGCAGGAAGTCGCAGGGGACACAGAACATGTGTGTGGTCTGACGAGGACAAAGCAGTAGAGATGTAAAAAGGTCAAATTGAAAAAACTCTTTAAAATGATCACATTTTTGACGGGGACGGAAGGATGACCTTATTAGTGACAATCCAGAAGCCTACTGTCAACAAGGAAATAGTTCTGGAATACAGAGAAAGAACAAAGAGGAGCGTAAAAAAGCCAACAGAAAGAGTGAATGGCAGATCAGGAGGAAATGCGAAGGTGATGCAAATGTGGTGTAAAGCAGCCCAAAGACCATCACAGTCAAGGACAGAATGTTGGTGGGTTTACCGGGGAAGAGACAGGGAATCAAATAGAGTTACCGGAAATGTCCAGTAAGTGATTAAAATCTGATGAAAAATTGTTAATATTGTTTTCAACAAATTATTATTCTTTTAAAAAATGAATAAGAAGCAACTGAGAATAGATGTGAAGGTGTGAACTGTATAGACAAAGTTGGGGAGCAGAGAATAGGGGTCAGGAAAAGTGGAGTTAGTAACAGGAAATCAAACAAGCACTGGAGTGGGCCGCACACGAGAAACAAAGAAACAAACTAACACTGAGGTGAGTTCCTGAGTGGTTTAAACAAAAGGCCATAAACTGCAGCTGTTGATTGTCAGGGAGGAGCTGGTGTAACACTGAGGCTGACCAGTTAAAGCTAATCACAAAGTCCATAAGGTTGGCATTATATTGACAGTGAAAACATATATTCTAGTTACATACAATATGAGAGTATTAATACATATATGTAGATCAGGTGGCTACAGATGCAGAGACAGACTATTTTAAATGTGTTTACTCAAACCTCTATGTGTCTTTGTCAGAATGAGACAAAGTCAGTCAAGATGATGTACCAGATGAAGAAGCTTCCATACAACTACATTCCTGACTATAAAGTGCAGATCCTGGAGCTGCCATACGCAGGAGAGGAACTCAGCATGTTCATCCTGCTGCCAGAAGAGGGGACCTCTCTAGGGAAGGTGATGAATCTCCAAATAAATATCATCTTCGTTGGGTTAAAAAGTTTTTGGTTTTATTATTCACACTCCCTTGGAAAGAATTTGCAGTGAAAATATTCAGTACCCAGTTTACACCATTAAAATGTATTTATTTTAGACTTTTGTCTAATGTTGGACATTACAGGCAAAAAGGCAAGTAGCATGCCTTTTTGCCTGTGATGTCCAACATCAACTTTACTGTCAAATCCAACCATAAGTCTAGTTAAACAAAGCCTTTGATTTCTGAATTTAAATGATTCAGAAATCAGAATTTGAGAAACCTTACAAATATATTTGTGTTGTCCCAGCTGAGGAACAATCTGACGCCTGCGACGCTAGATGAGTGGACCGCAAGGGAAAACATGGATCAGGACTCAGACGTCGTCGTTCACCTGCCAAAGTTTAAGCTGGAGGAATCTTATGAGCTGAACGAGGCCCTGGGTAAACTGGGCATGACCGATGTGTTCTGCGCGGCAAAGGCAGACTTGTCAGGCATGAACGGTGAAGGAGGACTCTTCCTGTCCACGGTGGTCCACAAAGCATTTGTGGACGTAAACGAGGAAGGAACAGAAGCCGCTGCAGCAACAGCCGGTATGGTGTCTTTCTGTATGGTCAGGGAAGAACACTTTATGGCCGACCACCCCTTCTTGTTCTTCATTAGGCACAACAAGACCAAGTCCGTCCTCTTCCTTGGCAGTTTCAGGTCTCCTCAGTAGATAGCAATAGGATATGCCTACATTTGTTAACACACCAAGACACTGATTCATTTTCTGTGATGCTAATTGAATTCACAGTTGCACTTACTGTATATCATAGATGAGCTAAAGCTGGGGACTTCGGTTATGTAATAAAATAACTACTGTGACAAACATATTGTAACAGCGGTAGAGTGAAACGGAGGCAGCTGTTATTTTATTAGAAAGCGGTTTATTTGTTTACCTGAAATCAGCAAAACTAGCAGAACCTGACCCGCACTGTCGACTCTAAAAAAAAAAACACGGAACAGAACACTCTGCGCATGTGCGCTACAGCATGGTGCGTTCAAGGCACCCAAGAACCGTCAGAAAAAGTAAAAAATATAACACAACATAACCATTTATTCCCTAACCGTCACATTATTGATGACAGACCATAGTGTCAACTGGGTTTACAATAAAGCTGAGAATATCTTAATGTAACCTGGATGTTTGTAATTTTTTTAAACAAATAAGGAGATGTTTGTTTGTTATAAACCTTACCTGCCTTGGTAATTATAGCTCCAACTAAACAAATATTTCGTTAAATAAAAGAAATGAAAATCACCTTTAGAATCACATTGTATGTAACTTCACTTGAGCTTTTTTTATAGAATTTTTGCACCGCAGAACATTTGCATTTTTAAAAAATAATTTGAATTTTCAGTTAATAATTGTAGAGCATAAGAACAAACATTAAAACAATAGAATAAACATTAAAAATACCGCCTATCAATTGGAGACATTTCTGAAGATTTGGATCCATCTTTGGAGAGAGTGTAGGAAGAATGTAAAAAAATTGATCTTATTACATTATGTAGACTATAGTAAAACATAAAATGAATAAAACTAAAATTCACCTGAAAATATGAAGAGCGAATAAAAGAATACACTATGTTCATTTGACACTGCCAAACAACACATGTTATGGAGCGTCTTACACCATTTTCCTGGACTGAATTAATAAAGAAGAGAACAACCTATTACGTGCAAAGACCAAAGCCACTTGATCAAACCCAAAAAGAACTACCACCATAACCTATTTGCCTTCAACTTGGGCTTCTCACAAGATGCAGAGCCTCAGCTTCTATTTCCGGGCAGTGTCATAATTGGCAACAAACCAATCACAGGTCTCCTTCAAAGCTAAAAGTCAGAAAAGCAGTCATCATTAGGACAAAGTCAGATGTAATATTTAGGATTCACCGTACAGTAACAAGCCTACCGTCTTTGAATGGAGTAAACTTAAATTCTGGCAGGTAGCGGAACATCTTCGAGTTGCTGGCTGTCTTCTTGAACTGACCGTCTGATTTGGTTGTGTCAAACTGAAGGCACACAGTCAACGACAAAAAATGTACAGGTTTAATATTGGTGTTATTTGCCATAAAATAATTCAAGTTTGCTTACATACAAACTAAAACAGATTCAGGTATCCTGGGGTGTTATGACTTGATGCAACTTTCTTTTGTGTTTTTTTTTTTCCATCAAAGCAGTCTTCAGCTTTGGAATTAAAATTCCCTACATGACACAGTAGTTAGCAGTGGAAATGGAATTTACTGTAAATCTCTGTATGGGATTGTTTCACAATGTACTGCTTAATTACTGGTTGTGTATTAATACAGAGTACAACCTGTACAGAGTACAACCTGTACAGAGTACAACCGTATACCGCTCTGCCTAAACAGTGTGTACTGATTGACCTTAGGTTGACTACACAGACACAATCATGAGCATAATCATGTACCCAGCTATATGTCTCAAATTTGCATTCCTGTTCTGCTGCATGTCAGGCAAATCTTCCATCTTTACTGGGTGTGTCTGCTGGAATTCTTTTATTCAGTCTTGTTCATTGTCTATCTTTGAGTCTATCTGTAAGACATCTATGAACATTATTATAGTTGTTACTAATCTATTGAATGGCAGAAACCGTAAGATGTGAATTTTCAAATGTATCTTCTGGTAATCCAAAGCTTCTCAGGTCTGGGTCAGTTTTTCACATCAAGTGAATGGTCATGCTTAAAAAAAAGCTCATCAGTTGGCACTTTGTCCACTAACTTGTTACAGAAACAAGGATTTTCCTGATGATTCCCAGAAAGAGGGTATGTGAGCTGCTATCATAGCCAAGTGTTTATTAAACATCCTGCGACGCACAGGCTGTTAGCTAGTAGTTTCCTTAGTCATCCTTAGGAGGCCGTTTAATCTGACCTAATGACCTCTTGGTCATCCTCCACACAGTTTCTCCACACAATTGTAGACCCCCTGATGTTGTGGTGTTCCATGAAGGTCTTATTCCTCTCCTAACCTAGCAGTATAAACAGACTGACCTGATGTCCTTTTTTAAATATGGCCACCTGTGTGAAAAACTTTTAATTTTCATCAGTGTTAAATTCTTTGTTGACAAAATGATAGTAAAAACGTCAATATGAATTAAATGTTAAACAGGATACCTTGACTTCTCCTTCAAAGCCCATTGCCTGGACAACTGCATCTGCTGCTTCTTTGATGGACAGTTCATCTTCCTCTCCAACTGCCACCCACAGCAAAGTGAGTGTCAGGATGTTATTTGTTATAATGTCAACAATACTACAATCCATGTAAGATAAGATAACTTACCAGAGAGGATTATGGGATCCACCTCTGAGTACTCGTGCAAAACCCAAAGAAATAGACGAGCCAAGTCATAAGAGTAAATGAACTGCCTTCGGGGTTTACCAGAGCCCCAAACCACAAACGGCGTACCCTCCTCTAAAAAAAAAAAATCAAAACAAATAACAACTGACAAATATACACACTATTAGATTGGACAGGCGGACAGTGTCACAATGAATCTCTGTGTACATTTGAATAGACTGTGGTATCTTGTATTCAGGAGTCAATGCCAATAATGTCGTCAGAATATCCTCTCAATGAGAGTGCGGAGAATGTGACTAAGAACACACTGTAGTTGGTCACTGTTAAAGTCAATTCCTAAGAAATGACCCTGTCTTATCCAACATTAGCCACCTAGGCATCATAGAACTGTAGGAACAACCTTGATGAGCTCTGCAGGACAGCTATACCTGGTCAATATATTTCAAAAGTCAAGAATGACTGTGTCAAATGAGTCCACTACTTCCCTTGGAAATAGACTGAACCGAGAACAATTGTTACATTATATAGACACAAAAATACTTGAGTGTGACTTACTTACTCTGGGCAAGGTAAACTTTGTGGATTAGGCCAGGCAGAACATGACCGTCCTCTATGTTGAAGTTGTCATGTGGCCCAAACACATTAGTGGGAATCACAGCAGTAAATATACGTCCATGCTTCTGGTAATAGGCCCTGTAAAATAGAAAAAAAAGTATATATAAATGGAAAAAAAACAAAACAAAATATGTATCATGTAGCGTGTTTGTGTTCTTTATAGTTATAGACTCTCACTTCCAATTCATAAAACAAACAAAGCCACAAACAAACAAGTTACATCTTTATTATCCTTCCTGTAAAAACAGTTAAAGACCAAACAAAAGCAATACCACTGACTCATACTCTCGTACCTATTATGTATGTCAATCATTCGCTTTGCGTAGGAATAACCGAAGTTTGACTCATGAGGTGGACCGTTATGGATCTGTTACAAAGACAAAAAAAATGACAATAATTGTTCAAGATGACCATGAAACCAGATAGTTAGCAATAAGTCAAGTGGTCAGTAACTAAAAAAAACCAATGACTTTGGTTGAAGATATTTTTAGGCATTTACCATTGGTTCTAATGCTTCAACTCCAAATCAAGTTTAAACCTGCCATGTTCAGTCTTTTTTGTCATCATGTAAGAGTTTAATAATAAGGCAGGAAGCTAATGAGCTAATGTAACAACAATTTAACAGACACAGACGAAAGACCTTGTTCAAATATTTCATTTTACTTGGACAATGTATTAATAGAGAATCTTACCATTGTTTCATCAATAGGATAAGTGGTCTTATCTGGAAAGATGCAGGTGGAAAGGCATGACACCACCTTCACAGCGCCTGCTTCATGTGCTGCCTCCAGCACATTGTCATTTATGTAGACATTGTTTCTCTATGAGGAGAAAACAAATTGTAAAAATTCTGGTTTGTGAATTAACACAATCCTGGTAAGTCATTAAATTAAGAATGACGTTGCATACCCAAAAATCCAGATTGTACTTCATATTACGAAAAAGCCCTCCAACCATGGCAGCCAAGTGGATTACATGTGTTGGTTGATGTTTCTTAAACACTGCTCGTGTTTCCTCCATGTTCCTTAAGTTGGCACAAAAGTGTCAAAACATCTAAAACTGTCTTTAAATATCAGTGCTGTTCACAGAAAACAGAATTCTCACATGAGGTTAGCATCTTTGGAGGACAGAAATATCCATTCTTCACCCTCCTTTGCCTCATTCTTCTCTTTCACCAGATGCTGTAGGGCCATGCCTACCAAACCAGTCCCTCCAGTCACTAAAACCTTCATCCTGACGGTCTATTGACCCTGAATACAAAACAGAATACATATTTATTTAGATCGACAATACAAATATACCGTATCACTATTTTACCATCACTCTACGCAACACAAAAAAATGCATTTAGAATAAAGACTTATCAATGACATTACCATACTGAAAGTCTTCCCTAATTTTTTCAGGTCAACAGCAAAGGATGAGCAACCTTGTCTTGTAAAAGCTATCCTGTACAACCTTAGGTAAATTTAATCTAATAAACATGATGTATACAAACTCCTGACGCCCTTAATGTACTATGCCAAGTATGCAAACAAATAACTATATTGCTTTGAGATTAATGTCAAGTTTGACAATATACATAACATACATTACTACTGTCTGACGCCACCACTTAAAAATGGCTATCCCTCTTATATTCCCCCTCAGTTACTGAACCTTGCCAACTTGAAGGTCACAATTATAAGCTGCCCACTGTTCACTTTGGTGATGGGTTAAAAGCAGAGGTCACATTTGGTTGTGTGCAGTGGTGTGCTGTGTCACAATGACAAGTACTTCACTTTCCACTTCGCTCAATTTTTTAGGAATCTTTAGGACCACGTGAAAGGATTTAAGTTAGTTCTGGAGATTACACCTGGGGGATGGCAAACCTGTCACAAACGTCGATTTAATAACACTGTGATGTTACGGAATTATAATATAACAGTGAGGCTATGACTCCAACATTCAAAGCTGTTTGTGTCGGGGCCACGTCATACAGCAGGTCAGTTTATTCATTGTGTAAAACACTCAAAATTTAACAAACATTTAAAACAAAAAACAAATGAAAAATAACTGTGGTGTATTGTGCACAACGTGCACAATACAGGTAAAGTTAATTATAAACATTTACGTTTTAACACTAAAAATATACTACCCTATCTTGGTCATTTACTTACCGTTAAGTTTTACAGAGAGGCAGTCTACTTCGATAGTAGCGCGCCACAGGAGGTGTAAACAATTGAGCATGCAAAGTAGAAACAAAAACACCAAAACGGTTTTATTTAGACCGGGTTACGACTGGTAGTATAACGCTGAAAGAAAAAAAAAACTAAGAGTAGTGACTATATGTCACTGGTCCTCCTCTGTTACCGGCAGTACTGTCGTCTTCCTGCGCCTGCCTTCTGCTGTTTTTATCCATAGACATATGCGTGTGGACGTGCTGAAAAATGCGTCAACGTAACCGCCATGTTGGATTAGTCATATTACAACAGCGGTTTACAGTAGCTACCCACTTGGCTGCTCTAAGCTTAGGGTTATTGTGGTTAACAGTTCTGTTAACGACCAATAACTACCAGATAACTATGTTACTTCTCATCAGTTACAGTATTTATGATGCTTGGTGAGGATTATGATCTGTTTAAAATAAAAAGTGATAATAAAAAATAATCATAAAAATGATAAATGTAACAAACGGCAGACCTTGTTACCATTGTCAATCAAACACACGGACAAACAACACAATGAAACAATGTCAAATAAATAACAATATATATAAAAAAACTGGCTGTATATATATAAATACAGTATATGCATTGGCTGGTCCAATACAAAGATGAATATCATTCGTTCATGCATTTCATTCTTCTTCTTGACATTCATGCATTCCCTCTGCCTTTTTCTATTCCAACACATTTGGACGCTGTGCTGTCTAAGTAACTAACAACACCACAGAATGCACCAGTAGCCCAAAAACTTTGATCCTTTGAAGTCAAACAGAAATTGACACACACAGTGACAACTCACTCCAGTGGTAGCTGTTACTGTTATCACTGTTCAAACTAAGAATTAAGTTAACAGGATGGAAAGCAAATGACATCAAGGGGTTAAGTGTTACAACACTGTTCTGTTCTGGATAATTCTACCGTCTTTTGTACCTTTTGTCATGTTGCCACCGTTCAGTTAAAACAACGTCAAACAACTCTCTGTCGAATTATGTCGTTTTGAAAGTGGTTATGAAATTCAAAAGAATGATGAGCTAAGACTGTAGCGTTATGGATGCCACAGCAACAGGGAATATAATAATTTCCAGCTGCCCCTTAACACAACTATGGACTTGTGGATTTCTAAAATGACACACTGGGCTTACTCCACTGCTGTTTCATGATGTATTGATTTGTACAGCAAATGTGAAGCCATTGCTTGATCATCTGGTCCAGGATGCTGAACATAAACATTAGACCCACAGTGTGTACAATAAATGTAAAGGGCAATAACGTGAATCAGAGGATCTGGGGTGAGGACGAGGACAACAGTGAATCCTGTGATAAGGAGCCTGTCAAACATTCATGTAAGGAGAGTCTAAAGGCAGACAGAGACCAGAGGATAACTCTGTCCATGACACCCCACAGTTCCTCTATAGACACTCATACTCCCGATGAGCTAAGAGACATTTCTCTGATATGCAGTCCAGAAGATGCGCCTGCTGCTGCTCACTCACAAGCAGTTACTTTGTACAGAAGACGAGTGTCTAATCTGCCTATCTTCATTACCAAATCGACAGATAAAGGTAAGCCATTCATGTCCACAGATTATTCAGTCACCAACTATAAATCATCAATTTATAAAAGTGGCGCATAAATGTAAAAAGTATGCTTGTGATAGCAAAGGTTTGGTTGAAGGGCGAGACAGTTGTACAATGCATGTCTACAGACAACAGTGAAGCATTGTGGAGCTTATTTCTTTTAAGTTGGTCTCTATCTCTACTTTGACTTGTCCTCAATACGTAGTTGGTACTGGTAGTTTACTCTGTGCAGCCCACTCTACACTTCGTTAGGATTGGCCCATTTGTTATTGTAGCATCTGCATTTCAGTAGCAACCATAACCATTCATAATTTCATTCATAATTTCACACTTGCTTTTACCAGTCAAAATGGTAGCTGATGGGTTAAGGCTGCAGACGGCGAAGGACAAAGTCGAGGCTCTCCTAGAGACACTGAAGACATTTCCAATGAACTGCCATTCTTTACGCTGTGCCCAAGTGACCGCAGAACAAAATTCTGTGGTGTTGCCTTTGCATCCAACCCCATCAGATGTTTACCAAACAAAGTCATTAGTGCAGCGTAACGGAAGCCAATCCAGCCAATCAAAGACGAGCAAAAGTCATCCCAGAACATTACAGAACATGAAAAACACTGTTAACGGAACAGGTAGGTTGACTTAATACTTAATACGATTCATATTCATCTTCTTTTTTAAATAGGATGGAGCTTTGTAGGAGTTTTCTAAAAGAAATTCAAGTTTGCATCATCCTGTAGCTAGAAGCTGGGTTTAAAAGTAATACATTCCTAGTTGTCTTTGTCATTGTAATGTGGTCACCAGTTCTAATTTCTAGTCAATTAATCTTCTTGGGAAAAAAAATCCATTGACCTGGATTACTAATCTATTATTGGGTGTTTCCTTAGGTAAACCGACAGTAAGGGACTGCAAGTACAAAATTATGACTGATAAAAATGATAAACTTCAACCACTGGGGAATCCTGTCGAGAGTTTGACCCTCTGTCTGCAGCAACTCTCCTCAGATAACTGGTAATGTCCTGCTAATGCCCACACTAACATACAGCAGACCAGTTTCCTTTGAGATATATGTATATATATGTACATATATATATGTATTTTTTCTTTCTTAGGAAGAAAAAGGTAATTGGGTTGCAAACCATTCAAGCTCTGGCTCAGAATCATCCAAAAGTTCTGAAAACCAAACTCCACCAAGTCTGTTTAATACTCACTGAGGAGGTAATGTGCAAAATGTTCTCTTTTCCTTTTTGCTATATCCATTTTTTTATGTAAGTTTCCAAAGACAAATTACTTTTTGGACGAGGATTAACTGGATAAACGAAAGACGATAGGAACATGTCATGGTGAAATATGTTGTGAGGATATGCCCTTCACTGCACACTTTGTCCAAGCAAATCAGAACACCTGGTTAACAATGAAAGTGGTTAATTATGGTATCAGGTTGTTGTATAAAAGTAATATAAAACCCTCTCAATGTTATAATTCACAATGAAAATATTTGTTGCTTTTGTGTTCAAATCACTACACTCATTTCCTGGAGTGTTCATACTGCTACTATGACAGTTGATGTTTCTTGAACAGGTGAAAAACTTGCGCTCGGCAGTGGCCTGTGCAGCCATCGACACTCTAGGTGACCTTTTCCTTCATCTTCAGAATGCCATGGATCCAGAAGTAGAGGGCACCAGCCAGGCCCTTTTGTTTACTTTGGCAAAAAACAAAGCATCTTTCAGTAATAAACATGCCAATCTGGCCCTGGGTGCTATGGTGCAAAATTGCAGCTATACGCGAACAGTGAGTGCTCTGCTCCACAAGGGGTTGAGGTGAGAGGAAATGTTGAATTCTGTTTAAACGTATTTTCTGTAGGTGTTAAAAATTGTAACATTCTGGTGATTGTCTTCTCAGACACCCTCATGCTGCTGTACGTGCAAGCACCGCTCAGCACCTTCATCAGGTGGCGGACAAACTGGGAGCAGCTCGAATTTTGACATCAGGAAAGTGTCTAACTGAGCTCTTTCTCACTGCTGTCTCCAACATGTCCATGGATGCATCACAAGAAGTGAGGTGGTATTCCTTTTACTTGATCTGCAATTATAATCACTCTGTTATCTTTTCAATATCCTGTACAGCATAAACAAATTAGAATAGTAGTAGTGTATTAGAAAACCATTTCAAAATAACTCTTAATGATACTATGAATGGTTTTGTTCTTTTTAAAAGAATATTGCAATTTTTTTTTACAGGCACCACGGACAACTAATGCTCCAACAATTTACACAAAATAAGGATTTTCTGAGACTGTCAGCGCAAAAACAGAGACTAAAACCCTTCTTATATGCATGACAACAAAACAAGCTCTCTGTGAAAAAGAGTCTGTCTGGTAGAACCTTAGAACTGTTAGTGGAGAGTGCAACAAACATGTTTTTCCCATAAGGATGTTGACCCAATGTTAAGAAAAGTAAAAGGTAATGACAGTATCTAAAGTCAAAACGAATTCAAAGTATTTGTTAAATAAACAAATAAAATCCCAAGAGTCTATTTACACCTGCTTTCTCTATTTAGGTTTCAATGACCTTGTTCTGAACCATTGTCAAGTCAGCAGTCTGTTCTGTGATTGTGTGTATTGAACCAAACTAAGAAAACATTAAGAAAATTTGTATTTGTTTGAGTCGTTTGTCGAGTTATGGCTTAAATATGTCTGTAGAACATTAATAAAATGTATGAAAATAAAATTAATATCAATGAATCTGTACAGAACAATTGTGTTTTCATAGTGTTATCATATTTTTTATATCCCCACTAATTACTGGAATAAATGACATTTACAGCATATTTCTAAGATGCACTTTGACTACAACAGGTTGAATTCCATTACACTGAAAAGATTGTTATTACATGCTTACAGTGCTCCCAAAATAACAAAACAGAACAATAACCCTAACAAAATAGACCAAAAGATATATATATATTAACTATGGCATGTTCCTTAAGATAAAGCAGGGGTGTCAAATTCCCATCCCCCAAAATCTGGCCCATGTCTAATGTCAATTCATACGTAACAAATTGTATTAATTCAAGGACTGAAATCATACAATGGCTACTCTCAAAGCTGATGGTAGACTGTGAACATTTTTCGTCTCTGAATATTTATATAGGTCTTCACTATTGCAAAAAATGATTTTGGATTTTCAACAGTGGTAAAGCATGACTGTCCAGTCAAGTCACCTTGAGCTTTGATCAAAGTAAGGTTGTTCCTTACATAGTCAATGGTACATGAAAGTAAACTTGTTAAAAAGGCCTTTGATCAGAGAAGTCATTATCACAACTGTTATGTTACCAATAGATGTTATTATTTCTGACCAATTCACACCAAAACAACCAAAACACCTAAACATGAATTACAATGATATAGATGTAAGTAGCCAGGTCCATTGATCCCAAACATGAATTTTGTAGATAAGAATTTTTCAGATACGTGATCTAACGAGCAAATAAAATAATACTTATTATAATTCTAGGAGATGCCAAGTCTGCATTTGTATACATCGTGTTGAGGAGGGGGGTGGGGAGGGGGGTGGAGCGGAGATTAAAAACCCTTACATGAATATTCACCATCACTAATGGCAGTTCTATAGGAAATGCCCAGTTATCGACCTATGCTAGATATTTTTTGTACTTTTTCAACAGCAAACTTGGACACACAGATTTACAACTGACTCCCGGATCATTGACATACAGCAGACTACAGCCCTACATGCAAAAGAGATCAAAAAACCCCAGAGGAGCACGGATGAGGATGAAGACGACGATCCCTGGAACAGGGAACTTCATAGGAATTCTCTGATGGCAGCTAGGGACCAGAGGCCAACTCTTTCCATGAGCCTAAGCAGCTGCTCTTTTGACACACACACTCCAGATGAGCTCCGAGCTATTCCTCTGATCCGAAGTCCTGAGGACTTTCCTGTTGCTGCTCCTTGTCAACCTGTCCCTATGTTGGTCGCCTATAAAAAGATTGTGGAGGTAGATGAAGAAAATTTGGTAAAAAGTTCAACGACTCCACCCCCTCCTACCTCCCCATGTCCAAAGATGAACAAAACTGCAAAGAACCGTCAGCCAACAGCGCCTGTCAGGAATGAGAGTCATTCCAGAGAAAACAGAGGGATTCCCTCCAGAGCCAGATCTCCGCAGTCCCAACAACCGGAGACGAGACGCAAGTCAACATGTTTGAAAGAGGTGGAAAAACTGCAGGAGAAGAGAGAGAGACGCCGACTCCAACAACAGGAGCAAAGAGAGAAGAAGGCTCAAGAGCTTGATGCCACTGTCCCCAACTATGAAATTATGTGCATGATCCGAGATTTTCGAGCTTGTCTAGACTACAGGCCTTTAACTACTGCTGATTTGGTGGAAGAGCACAAAATATGCGTATGTGTCAGGAAACGTCCACTAAACAAAAAAGAGTTGGCTATGAAGGATTTGGACGTGATCACCATTCCAAGCAAGGATGTTGTGATGGTGCATGAACCAAAACAAAAGGTGGACCTTACCCGCTACCTCGAGAATCAAACCTTCTGCTTTGACTACGTCTTCGACGATAGCACCACAAATGAAATGGTTTACAGGTTCTCCGCCAGGCCTCTTGTAGAGACCGTTTTTGAGAGAGGCATGGCTACATGCTTTGCCTATGGTCAGACAGGCAGTGGAAAAACACATACCATGGGTGGAGATTTCTCTGGGAAAACTCAAGACTGCTCCAAAGGAATTTATGCATTAGCAGCACAGGATGTTTTTCTGATGTTGAAGAAATCATCCTACAAATCCTTGGACCTCCAGGTCTACGCCACCTTCTTTGAAATCTACATCGGTAAAGTCTTTGATTTGTTGAATCGTAAAACCGAGCTGAAGGTGCTTGAAGATGGGAAACAGCAAGTACAAGTGGTAGGGCTTCAGGAGAAGGAGGTCAATAGCACAGAGGACGTCCTGAAACTGATAAAAGTGGGCAATAGCTACAGAACATCAGGCAAAACGTCTGCCAATGCCCATTCCTCTCGTAGCCATGCCATTTTTCAGATAATTCTTCGCAGGAGAGGGGAGCTGCATGGCAAGTTCTCTCTAATTGACCTGGCAGGGAATGAAAGAGGGGCCGATACTTCAAGCGCAGACCGCCAGACTCGTCTAGAGGGAGCTGAAATCAACAAAAGCCTTCTGGCATTGAAGGAGTGCATCAGAGCCCTGGGACATAACAAGCTCCACACTCCATTCAGAGGCAGTAAGCTGACCCAGGTCCTGAGAGACTCTTTTATTGGGGAAAACTCCCGTACGTGTATGATTGCAACAATCTCCCCTGGTATGACATCCTGTGAGAACACCCTCAACACACTACGCTACGCCAACAGGGTCAAGGAGCTGACTGTAGATACAAACCAAGTAATGGAGGGAGGTCGAAACAACATTAACCCTGTAAATCAACTGGACCCCCTGGACGAGGGGTGGCTGTGTCTCTCACCACAGGAAGACAGCATCAAACTGCTGTGTGGTCAGAATGAGGAAGAAGTATCTCCTCAGTTCTTCGTATACGATGATGCCTCAATGTCTCAGTTGGTGGAGATAGAGGAGCAAGTCCTGGAGGAACACAGGGCTGTTTTTCAGGAGTCTCTCCGATGGTTGGAGGATGAAAAAGTGTTACTGGACATGACAGAGGACCTGGATTTTGATGTTCAGTCTTATGCCACAAAACTGGAGCTGATCCTTGCACAAAAGATTGAAATCCTCACTGAGCTGCTTGAGAAAGTGAAGTCATTTCGCTCTGCCCTACAGGAGAAGTAAACCAGCAGACTGTTTAGTTTTGAGGAGCTTCTTCTGGCCAATGGACTTTGAGCTGGAAAGTGGACTTTGCACAAACAGAAGCAAAACAATGAATGGTTGCATAAATGTAATTTTTGATGGAGAAATGTGACCTCACACAGCATCCTGATGATGATGTTGTGTGAGGTCTTTTTTAAAAACTGTGTGAAGGTAGTCTGATTTCCTTCTGCTAGTTTCTGTGAAATGTTATCCCCATGTTATCCCCCAGAACAAATAAAATCACCCAATACATCCCCATGTCCAAAGGTGAGAAAACTGCACAGAACAAGTGCTACACTGTGGGTTTAAAATCGCATTTGTCTTTCCAGCATGAGAAAAGAAATAATTTACACTCATCACGTGAAAATATGCAGTCAGGTGGAATTTTAGTGATTTAAGACTGCTGCTGAAAATGTCCCTACATTTGCTGTCTTTACCTATTACTCTTTTAGAGGTGACACTATTCTCTGAGGTCTGTTATAGACGGTCACTGAGGCAAAAAAGCAACGTTGCTGTACTTCCTGCTGCAAAGATGTTCTTTTCTGGTGTATAAATTCCATGCTAGAAGTTTTGAACCAATCAGATCTGTCTGAACAGCATCTAAATGAAAACATGGGACATTTTTTTTGTCTGCATTAAAGTTCCTGTGGTTTTAATTTCTGGCTTTTCAAATTTGGGCTCAGAATGAGTACTCCTGCATGTACGAGCAGATATATCTTACAGATATGACAGTTCAGAGGGTTTTGTATAACTGAGTGTAACCTTTGGGCCAACAAATATGCACCAAACAAAAAGATTTACAAAAAACAAACATTTATTAGAACTGAACTTGTGCACACATGAATGTGCTGGTTTATGTAGGCTTTGCCAACAGTTCACGAGAGAAGTCGTAAAGATCTTTGTTTATTTTCTTCAAAGTCTGAACCTCCTCTTCTAACTCTGCCACACGAACCTTTGTGTTTTCACCATCACGGAAGACAGACTGAAACACACAAATATTATTACTAAAATATATGTATGTTTGCATTTATGTATATATGTATATGTATGTGTGTATACAGCCATCACCTTGTCAGTCACAGCATTCATTAATGAGTTCAGTCTCTCAGCTTTCTCCAGGTATGACCTTTCCTCCTCCTGGAGGAGAGTATTTAGAAGAAGAGTGTTTAAATAGATAGATAGAACTGAACTCAAACAAAGATTACTGCTTATACTTGTGGGACTAACAATAATTGACAGAAACGGACCGAGATATTTTAACATTTGCATTGCAATAGCAAACATCATAAATACAATTTAAAACTATTTTTGAATTAATTTATGAAGTGACACAGTGACACCTAGAGGCGGCCTCTTCGCCCGTTTGTACTGTAGCAATATCCTCCTCCACAGACTTACCTGTGTGTAAAGGCCTAGCCGCACACAAACCTCTTCTGACACACCGCTGTTGGCCTCAGAAGTCTGAACATGACGGCTGAAACGAGGCAGAGGGACAGCAGGCCGACTATCGGGCACAAACATGTTCGCTGGAGCGGCCATGATGAAGGCGTTTGTCACCGGACCTGGACAAACAGACATGACATCAGCTTGTCATACCAAATAACACGGTAAATTACCGGAGGCACGTGATTGATTACATTTACAGCAGGAACTTTGTTTTAACATGAACTTAAATGTATGGTATAATCCCAAAATATGCAGACTCAAGATGCCATTAACACTTATACACCCCATGCTACACCTGCTAATGGTTTAACTGAGCATTAACCTCTAAAGCATTTATAAACTCGTTATCATTATCTGAACGTAAAGGCTAATGGAATCATTTGCATTAGAGTTAAATACCTAAACGTAAAAAGAAAACAGATTTTACAAACAATAGGCCGCTTTCAAGCTTTCATTCAAACCACACTTTCAATTGCATCTCTTTAAAAGATACACAGTTTATAAACTAAGTAAATAGATTATTGAAAAAGACACTTGGATTAGATTGTCATTTTTATGTGAACTAAAAGGCTTACCTTTGTGTGTGAGACAGCGAATGCTTTGTTTACTCTGAATATCCCAGAGACGAACTGTCTCGTCATGTGACCCAGAGAGCAAGAGAGATCCGTCCATTGACACAGACAGACACGTTACCTGGTTTCTGCAAATGGAGCAATTGTAATAGTAATGGATCGGCTCTAATTTAATTAAATAAGATGCTATTGATACAAAAGATGTGTTCAATTAGGGAACCTTTTACATCTGTCTATGGTTTACTTTCATCAAATGCCATATTATTTCATTGCCATCACACTGGTAGGTAAATATCATTAATTATTGGTACAATTGCAGAAGAGATCTCATAAATGGAAGGATCAAGTTAGATGTACAAATAACTGAAACAGAACCAGTATATCAGCATCAAATAGAACCTTTGTCTTGGTTCTTGAGGGGTTCTTGGTCTTACCTATGACCTTTGAAAACCTGGTTTCCACTGTGGTCGGCCTGGAAGGATTTGTCTCGACTAAGACTCTGTTGAAAAAAAAAAAAGAGTCTGAAAACAGCAGATACAGGGTTGAACTTTTTTGTGTGCTGTGGACTTTTTAAAGGAAAATATGTGCTTGTTCTTAAAACAAGTTGTGAAACATTGATCTGGACAACTACAAAATTCTGAGAACACTTCAATGTCTGAAAGTTTGGACAAAGCTGAAGATGCTGATGACAGTTTGCTATGAAAAATGTGGCAAAACTAACCTGGCTGCAAAGAGACACTTGGAAAATGTTTCCGTCACTCCCTCCACAAAATAGGAAGTACTCGCAGGGGTCAAAGGTTACAGACATGATCTCCACGTCAAAGAGAATTGACAACAGGAGTTCACCAGAGGACAACTCCCACACCTTGACAAAGAAACAAATATTAACATCATTAAATAGCTTTCTTTACTGTGGCAGCCAGAACCCTGTGGTCATGACTGTTGTTGAATGGCTGCTTTAGGAGTTTCACAGTAAACGTCAATGATAATAACCAACTAACAATCAGCTGTATCTAAGGATATCTTATGTTCATGACAACAGTAAGCTCTTGACAGTGGGAAATCTGCTAGTTAAATTATTTATGAGCTTATGGAAGACTTGTATGATACTAATTGACCAAATAATGATATTTGTTGAGCACTTAAGGATAATTAGCTGTTTATTTGTTTATTAGTAACAATATAAACATTTAAAATTTAAAAATATCTTTGTCTTCCGACCTTTGACATGTGCAAATGTAAATAAGCTGCTGGCAGACTAACAGATATTTTGAGAACTTAAGTACTACTGTGGCTCCTCAGCTCATTTAAATCTGCTCCTGACTAAACTTTATACGTGCACTGAGACCTGGCTGACTGCCTAAAACAGAGTGACAAATGCTGACAAACCTGGGTTCATATGTCTATAACATAGGTTATAAATATACAGAAATATTATATTGACAACAAATAAATCAGGATTTATACCTTGACTGTTTGATCTAAGGATGCAGTGGCAATTCTTGCTTGAACTCCCATAAGACCACAGTGCAGGTCTGTGATTGGTAGAGAGTGACGTGACAGGACATGACAAGGTTCAGGGGTGTGGTTTGAATCCAGCTGGATCAAGCTGAAATAGGTAAACCAATGTGAGAAATGAACTAATTTGAAATATGATTGGCTGAAAAATAAAACACCATGACACCATAATGGAAAGATAAAATGTAACAGAAGTTACGGTAAAGAGCACACTGCATAGGCGGCTTTAGATGCAGAATCAGTTGCTTAGTTTGGTTAGACCAGTGATTTCTGAACAGCACACGATCAACAATTCTGATATTATATATAGTTAAATCAGTTGCTCTGATCTTAGTCTGATCAGGTTTTAATATTACGGTGGCTAAGTTTTTATGACAGTGGGATTCTTTGTTACCGGCTAAGACTCCACACCAAAGCTAGGTTGTCTTTTCCTGCAGAAACAAAATGGCTGCTGTCGTCTGTGAACTTCAGACAGGTAACATCCTGGTAGTGACGAGTGAGGATAGACATCAGCTTTCCTGAGGCCACCTTAAAAGAAAAATAAAATCAAAGTGGTTTAATATTCCACAGAGTACAGTTGAGGAATGTTATTGACACAAATATATGGCGTAAAAAATGACTCACCTCCCACAGGTAAATGGCCTCATTGACTCCAGCAGCAAGAAAGAGTCCATTAGGAGAAGCCGTGATACAGGTGACCACACCAGGACACACAATTTTCTGTTGCAGTTGGTCCTGAAACATAAAAAAGTTCTTCATCCTCAAGGGTCCTAATAGTGGGACGTTTAGCAGACATTCCCTCTGACTCCAGCAGCAACCTTTATTTAAATATTTTGCCTGTTGTTGGCTGGACCAATAGCTGCCATTATAGTTTTTATCAATCAAAATTAACAACAAGCTTAATCCCTGCAACAAGCTTCTTTACCCCGCAGTCCCCCACACATAATGAACTGAACACTGACTGCACATGTTTTCGCAATCGTTAGCGTTTGTTTACCACTGCAGATCTTCCAGTAATATGGCTAGACCACTTGCACAATGTCAATAATTCTTAGCTACAAACCAGGTTGCAAAGTCTACTTTATAAAAAACAAAACAATGGTGGGATTCATTTTCCAATACACTCAACTGTAATTATGCAAACCTCGTGGTTTGTGTTATTTGGCTGAATTAGGCAGTAGTGGTTCATTGACATGTCCATTCTGTCCAGTCGAAGTAGAAACGTAACGGTCATTTTGATGTTAATGCAATGCTTTACCATTTTTAGCCAACTAATATATTAAAGATTTATAAAAACGTCTTATTTAGGAAAACGTTTTGCTCATACCTTCCTCTGGATCTCCCATGCGTTTATGAAATTCTTGCCCAGCTGCGCCGACAACAGAAACTCCCCGCGCAGCACGGTCAATGTACGGCTCGTGCTGTTACCGCCGCGATACGATATTAAACTGGACCCGCTGTGTAGGTCGAACACTGTGGTGTTCCATAGCTGCGAGCTTGAGTCACTGGTCACAATCACTTCTAGGGGAACCGCCATGTTCGGCTGCAGCAACACCGGTATCGGAAGTTGTTTCATGTAGTACTTCCGGTGATCATCGGAATTAGATTTTTTTTATTTTGTCTAGACACGGCAGTCGTGTTTTAAAACTCCAAATGACTGTTGGATTGAAGTGGTCAACAAGCCCCTTAGAGTTGCAAGATATACAATAAGTATATCTTCTAAAGTATCGTCGATAGTTGACAGACCTGAATATAATAAACAAGAAATGGCACTTGTTAAACTCAACCTCAACGTGCCTTTAATACACATGTAAACCGCACTGGCCAATGTTAAAACCACAGTTATCCTTATAATCGTCACATTTAAAAACAACAGTAAGTTTTATGAAGAAAGATATCGTATACAATACTTCACCAAAAATCAAAATATATTCTGTATATGAAATTGAAGGTTTTTAATTTTCAAGATTATGAAGTCTAATGATTCAAGATTTTGAGCGGATGAATAATGTGTTTAATTGTGATAAAACACAACGCTTTTTCTCCTTTAAAACATATTTTAAGCCTCCAACGGAGTATATAACCATTAATTCATTATCTGCCTCTTATTCCCGTGCAGGTCGCGAGGGGGCGCTGGTTCCCAGCTGTCAATGGGCGAGATGCACACTGGACAGTCGTCATGTCAGTTTATCTCTGGAACACACGAAGAAACAAACATTCACACTCACATTCATAACTATGGTCAGATGTGTGCGTGGCCGATGATACTAATCCCCTGATGAAAAATACCCCTGTGAAAATACACAAGGAACGCCCAGCGATCGGATAGGTGACCCCGTGATCTTTTTGATAGTAGTGGATCAGTGTTGCACCAACAGTTGCTCCTATATAGTTCTCTATATCAAACAACAAAGAGCTCACGTAATGCAATACGAGTGATTGTATTTCACTTCATATAGCAATTTTATGTACATCATGGTTAATAACAAGATTTACTGAATAAATAGCGAAAAGCATTTACTGTGATCATGACGTAACATTAAAAGGCGGTGCTCTGCAGTGAAAGGAGTCCGTCATTTCCCCTTTGTTCCTGCTGCACGGAGTGGCTGCGTGAATTGTCTTTCCTCAGCTGAACTTTCTGTATTTAGCTCAAGTTAGACTAAGTCACGTAAGCATTCATTCACTCACCTTGCAAATAGACGGCGGATGTTTTGGATCTTTTTTTTTTCTTTTGTGAAAATCTGATTTGATTTGTTTGATTTTTGTTTTTAATGTGACAGGTTGGTTTTGCTGAAAAATGGCTCAGTCAATCCTCGACCTTATTCCTGAGACATGCACGGGAACCCTTACCATAACTGAACATCTGAACTTCTGGGGAGGGAAACGGGTGAAGCCCCTTCATGAGACCAACGTTGAACCGGTTTTTGAGCCTGCTACTGGTGAGAAGACGCAGCTGCTTATTCACAAACTTCTCTGCGGTTTCTCTCTGCAGGATTGGTAAAATGACATACAAAGTTTATCTGCAAAACATCATAAGACAGACATTTTAGCCAGGCACAAAAGACCACGTTGAGTATTAAGTTAAGATTAGTTGACTTAATATGAAATGAGATTATTGAACGCAAGGGTACTTGGGTGCAATACTGCTGTTATGTAATAAACGTTGTTTACTTGGCTGCTCGGCAAGAGTCTAAAAATCTCAAAGACCTGCAGTCACACAAACTTTTAACACAAGAAAGCAGTAGATATTATATGTAGCCATCAGCCCAACCCCCACCCCAGCCACTCCATTTTTATGTACACAGCTCACATGTATAACGAGATTTTGTTTCTTTTGCAGGCCATGTTCTGTGTCAGATGGTCCCCTGTGGGGCTGAGGAAGTTGACGAGGCCATAAAGAGTGCCTATGGTGCCTACAAAAAATGGAGCAAGTTGGCAGGAACCGAGAGAGCCAGAGTGATGCTGGAGGCTGCTCGGATTATCAGGGTGTGACGGTCAATGTTTCAAACGTTATGCAATTACATTGTATTCTGCAAAGCACAGAGTTATTCATCAACTTTACACAGTCCTCTAACCCCTCTGAACAGGTGACACATGTTCAGCAGCTGTCATAATTCAAGGCTCAAGGTATTTTGTTATTGTGCCAAATCTTTGGCGTGAACCTTGTGCCTGTAAGAGACAGAAAAACTGCTTTGACAGCACAGGTTAGACTTCAACCTCAGGGTGGAAATCTGTGCTTTTTTTAAATGCAAAACATAAACGAAAACAATGTGAAGCATTTGAACATTTTTCAGCTTTTTTTTTTTTTTTTGTCAGAGTTCTGAAGCAACGTCCTGGTCTCAGAGTAGATGCAGCTAATAGATTCAATGCATGATATTATAGGATTATTAAAACAATATTATTTAATAAACTGAATGCAATCGCAAATACAAGGGGATTAAATGGTTTTGCTCTCTAAGGTAACTTTGCCTTGTGATTAATTCAAGTAGAACATGAACTAATGTGTCACCATAAAAAAAATGCTGTCTTATATGAACTGCTTTTATGTAAATGTAAATGAAATGAATTTAAAATGTTTGTATTCTGTTAAAAAAGGAAAGAAGGGAGAAGATCGCAAAGTTGGAAGTAATTAACAATGGCAAGTCAATCACTGAAGCCCTGGTGGACATTGATATTGCATGGGAATCCATTGAATACTATGCTGGTCTGGCTAGTACACTCTCAGGTACAGAGAAAATCACAGCTTTTTTTCTCTCCAAAGCCCCTGTGCCTAAAACTCTACACCATTGTGACAGATGAGAGTGTGCTCATATCTCCGTTTTGTGCAGGCCAGCACGTTCAGCTTCCTGGAGGAGCATTTGCATACACAAGGAGGGAACCTCTTGGTGTGTGTGTGGGAATTGGTGCCTGGAATTACCCTTTCCAGATTGCATCATGGAAGGCAGCACCTGCTCTGGCATGTGGTGAGTACAGGTGTATCGAGGATTAGTTAGATAAGGTATAATATTGTTTTTTTATATCATCCAATGATGGGCAAATCCTGTTTTAGCAGTACCAAAATATGACATTTAGTTAATAAGCTTTGACCACTTACACAGACAGGACGGCGGAGACAGAAGCAGTTGGGCAGTGGGGTCAGGACAAGTTGCACATACTGATAATTAGGGGTGTTCTAACACCAATATTAGCATTGGGCCCACAACCTAATTCAAATCTTACCTTTCCAGTGACCATGGTGACGATACTTCATAATGGCTTTTGGTCACGACCAGTGGCTTTTGATTTCCTCCTTCAGTTGCTTGTCTCATTGAAGTTATGGGTAGTCTATTAAAGTAGATCAGAAATGTCAGCAGTTTATGGGTGTTTCCATCAAGAATAAAGACAAGACTTACTCTAAGGTTTGTTTACACTTTGCCAGGTCACTGTTTTTTTATATAGTATTCTGTGATAGTTTAATTGAAACATGTCTGTTTCCCACAGAGTTGTGCCACCCATATAACTTTTAGGTCATTGCTTATTTCTTTTGAAAGAAAGCCTAAAAAAGTATTGGTGATGTACTCTGTATCGAGGAGTACACAAATGATAATACTAGTGCTTTTATCAGTTTATAAAAATAGTATAAAAAGGAGGGGGGTGGCCAGTTGACTAACGGTCAACGGGACAGATTCCCACTGCTGTGCAGTTGCATTATTACACATGACATGACCCTGTGATTTGTATCTTTAGGTAATGCCATGGTCTTCAAACCCTCTCCAATGACTCCTGTGACAGCTGTTATCCTGGCTGAGATCTTCAAAGAGGCAGGAGCACCAGACGGGCTCTTCTGTGTGGTACAAGGTGGAGCAGAGACAGGGTCGTTGCTCTGCCACCACCCAATGGTTGCCAAAGTTTCCTTTACAGGCAGTGTGCCCACAGGCAAAAAGGTAGAAACGAGCAAAGAAACATTGCTCTCAACAGGTTACATTTACCACCTGATTTTGCCCCAAATCCTGGTCCTTGTGTTTATGTGACTTTTGACACTGTTTTTCTATCAATTTAAACTCTGAGAGGTCCAGATCAAGAAAATACCCATAGCAAAATTGTGGAATATCTAGATCTCTTTTACGTTCTGTGCTGATACAGATATTTTACCATTGAATCTTAACTTTACTCTTCAAGTTAGTAGGTTATAATATAAACTGTTTTTTTCTACTTTTAGGTCATGGAAATGTCTTCAAAGGGAGTGAAGCAGGTGACTTTGGAACTTGGAGGGAAATCTCCACTCATTATTTTCAAGGATTGTGAACTTGAGAATGCAGTGAAGGGTGCACTCATGGCTAATTTCCTCACCCAAGGACAGGTGACACTGCATCACTGCTGTCAATCTAAACAGAGACACTTGTTTGATACACTCCTAAATATTCGTATTCTTATTTAAATTGAAGGTTTGCTGCAATGGTACCAGAGTTTATGTACAACGAGAAATCATGCCTCAGTTCTTGGATGAAGTGGTGAAGAGGACCAAGGCCATTCGTTTAGGAGACCCTATGCTGGACGATACCAACATGGGTGCTTTGATCAGCAAACCTCACTTGGAGAAGGTGCTTGGATTTGTGGATCAGGCCAAAAAGCAGGTTTGTCAGGAACTTTGATCTTTTAAGCAGATGTATTTGTTTCATTAAAGCTATTTGATGCTATTTAAAGCTATGACTTGTTAAGTAGTATAAATACTCAAAATAGGACAGTTTTATTTTTAAGATTTATCCTTAACACAGGGAGCCAAGGTGCTTTGTGGAGGAGAGCCTTTTACTCCTACAGACCCCAAACTCAAAGGTGGCTACTTCATGTCCCCTTGTGTGCTTGGTAAGCCTCACAACACAATTTCAAATGTTACTTTCTCTATCATATCTGGCCAACATTGTAAATTTCAATGAAATCTTATCATAAATCACACACAGACAACTGTAGAGATGACATGACCTGTGTGAAGGAGGAGATCTTTGGGCCCGTCATGTCAGTCATGCCTTTCGATACAGAGGAGGAGGTTCTCCAAAGAGCCAACAACACCACGTTTGGACTGGCTTCCGGAGTCTTCACCAGGTCAGTTGGGGACGCTAATGAAAAAAGACAAGTGAATGAAACAGTAGCAAAGGTTACCAATCACCATGAGAATTTGGCTTAAATTGTGACTGCCAGCAGTGGGAAAAGTAGACAGGTGATTTCAGTTGTATTTAGCTTAAGAAAATAGATTATATTTATTCAAAAGTATATGCAGAATTTTATCTTAGTCTGATGTAAGAGAACAGCAAACCAAACTATCTATAGAAACTTTGCATTTTAGCCACCAGGGTTAGCTCACTTGATTCATGTCATTCAGTCATTCTTCTCATTGTGCAGGGACATTTCCAGAGCCCATCGTGTAGCAGCAAACCTGGAGGCAGGGACCTGCTTCATCAACAATTACAACATCAGTCCTGTGCAAGTGCCATTTGGAGGATACAAGATGTCAGGTATAAAATGTGTTAGTTTAAACTGGACTAGCGTCTAAGCACTACAGATAGGCATGCTGTGATGTCAAATAACAATGGTAAGGAAAAAGCTGCACGGTAGAACATGCCTTCAAATGAAAGCTTTATTTCCTTGAAATTCAAAAATACTGTAGTACTTAACAACTATGTTATGTTAGGTACTAGTTATTTTATTAAAATGTGACATTTGAGGATGTCCAACAGTTTTTAGTTGCATTTCAGAAAGTTGTTTAAGTTGCCATAATGTCGAAAAAGAACGCTCTATTTAAACACAGTCAAAAAGTAAAAAAACACAATAATTTGGTTTGGTTTGCTTTGCTGTCATTTTAGGGTTCGGCAGAGAAAATGGTGAGGTAACCATTGAGTACTACTCCCAGTTGAAGACTGTGGTGGTGGAAATGGGAGATGTGGAGAGCCTCTTTTAAACTTCACATCAGTGCCTACAGTCGACGTGACTTTCAAGCTCTTTACCACCTTCAGTCATGAGCTGCAGATTTGCATTATGATCAAATGATGTGAACTAACACTGCCACCTGTATGATTTGATCACTTCATTTCTTTATAAAAAATAAACATTTGGTACACAAGTATTTGTATTGTTCCATTGGTGTTATAAATGTTCCCCTATAGTGTGTGATCTACAATAAACCATCCAGTTACATGATATAAACCAGGTACAGATGCACATAATAATTAATAATACTATGATTTGAGGAATTAATTTTGTAAATCAATATGACTAATAATAATGGTATAAACATCATTATCATAGCATGTTAAAAAACAATTAATTAATTACAACTATCAGCTCCAAACAATTTCAAACATATTACACCAGATATAATACCCTGTTGACGTTTGTGGACCTATGTCTTAAGTTCATGTCCACATTTAAAATGGAAGTCAAGTCATGGTTTTGTGCACTTTTGTAAATTTCTTATATATGTATAATGTCTTTTCAATGTATTTGAACAACTTGTACATAAAGATAAGTTGTTTCACGTTTGCAAGGAATCTAGAAAATTAATTTTAAACTAAAGAGGAAGTGCATTTTATTTTGATAAATATAAACCGGAAGTATTCACCGACGGTTAGCAACGATGCAGGTAATCCGTTGTTTTACTTTTTAATATCCTAAAACAAAATATAGTATTTGACTAATTTGGTGTGTAGAATCCCAGACAAAAAAATTCTGAATTTCCAGGCAATAACATGTATGTTGTACAAACAAACTATACCTATGGGTGGCTTTTGCGAGGCTAACGTAATGATAAGAGCCGGAAACCATTCCATACACCCCAGTCGTTTCGTTCCTGATGGTTAGAACTCAGAATTGTGTCCATGTGTTTATACTCAATTTGTACCAAACACATTTCACGCTCACCGTTTTCTAAATAAAAGTTACACGCGAGAAACAATGTGCGTGCATTGCTTCTTGGTGAGAATCCACGTTTGTTATTAGGTTGCACTGTTGCAGACGTTTATGTTACAAAAACACGCAGTAAAAACAAACAGAAAGAAACAACAAAATACAAACAACAGTGGCCAGTATTATGATAGCATGTTCACATTTTATAGCATAATAAAATTATATCGATATAACGAATCACAAGCTGAAAGCGGTAGGTGTAAAGGCAACAGACGCGAAAAACAGAAACACACACGGTCACATAATTGCACACTTTGCCAAAAAGACAGACATGGCAGTTGTCAACACTTATTTTAGGGAACGTGGAGAAACTCAAGATAACTTACAAGAGTGGCCGTAGATGCACACAGTTGAATGGCGTCATGTACAGGAAGTGTCATCTGAAGATAGCTGTAGACTAAGGTTAATAAAGAAAAAGACAGCTAAGGTGGTTAGAGAAACTGGCATGAAGGCATTAGGTGTAACATCAGGTCAGTGAAAGGATGACAAGTAAAGTTGGTGATGGATTCCAGACTTTCATGACACCACCCAAGAGAAGGGGACAGCATAAACACTATGTTTAAGTATGTTAAGTTGTTGTAAAGAAAAGTTATATTGTGGCTTTTTCTCTTGTGCAGCAAAGAGAGGAGAAGCAGCTGGAGGCATCTGTAGAGTCTCTCACCTCTCGAGTGTCTCACGTCAAAAGCGCTCTACACAGTTTTATCTATAAGTTGGAAAATGAATATGAACGATTGACCTGGTAAGTTTTTGTGGTTGGAAGGATATCTATTTGCTTTGGGGCTTTAATAAAATCCCTAAATTAAAATAATCAATCAGGTTTACTTTGAGAAAGCTATAGAGATGATACAAGAAAGAAAAAAAACATTATATATTACAAAGGATAAACCCTTAAAATCCCTTTGGTCATAGATTCATTCTAAAGGTAATTGCTCAACATTTCATACCATTCATAGAGTAATTATCATATAGCTGCTGATGACTACAACTCTATACAAGCCGTATACATAAGCTGTATTATCTTGTTTCCTAGCTACCCATTATTGTCTTTTACTTACAAATATGCAAACAGGGACAGTAAACTATGACACCTGTTGTTCATCACATCAGCAAACTAAGAGGTTTACATGACCAGGAACAGCAGAACAGAAACTACTAACATGGACAGAGGCACACTGGGTTTATCATGTAAGAAAACTGCCAAATCCATATGTGGAGTATAACTGCAGCAATCCCAAATGAAAGGGGAAACCAATAGTGATACTACTTTAAAAACACACATCTTCTTTGTTCTGATCTGATACATTATCCCTGAAACAAAATGTGAATAAATCTACCAAAAGAAAATCTGTGGTGTAAAACATGAAATACAGAAGGATCAATCCTGCATTGTATAAAGTCTCTTTGCATCTCTCAGGCCATCAGTGCTGGACAACTTTGCTCTACTGTCAGGTCAACTCAACACCATTAATAAGCTACTCAAGAATGAAAAGATGCCATCATTTCGCAACCAGGTCATAATACCACTACTGCTTTCTCCAGACAGAGACGATGAACTAGCTGTGAGTATTACTGACCAAAAACAAGTACATTTTAAAGTTGCTGTTTGTTTATATGGCTGTCATTTGTGTCTGGGTCAGAAACTCACAGAGCAGCGCGTCTCAGTGTTCAGCCATGAAATTGTACCAGACTATTTGCGGACCAAACCTGATCCAGAGGTGGAGGAGCAAGAGAAGCAGCTAAGCACTGAGGCAGCACGCATCGGCCCAGAACTGGCACAGGTTAGTGAGCCCTCTATTCTTTCCTGTTAGCTGTTAACAGGCATTTCTTGGTTGATTGGTAATTGTTTTTTTTCTCAATAGAAACAAATTCAGGCTTTGAATAAACTGTGTTCCAATTTACTGGAGAAGCTTAACAATCCTCGTGATGACAGAGACACAGAAAGTGCAGGTAAATTTCACCTTCCCTTTTTAGATTCTTTTACTAAAATGAAGATTTGTGCAATTTATGCTTTTCTTTCTATTTTTTAGCCTTACGACAGAACAAACAATCATTCAACCCAGCTGATACAAACGCTTTAGTCAGTGCAGTTGCATTTGGAAAAGGTCTTTCTAAGTGCAGACCACCTGGCCCCGTGGCCCCTGGACATCCAGGACAGGTCACCATGAATACAGGTACCACTGCTCAAGCAGCAATGGGGGGAGGTGTGGTTCCTCAGCAGCAAGGGCAGCCAGGTAAGAGGCTCAGATATTTCAGTTGTAAAACCAACAAATTGCATGGCATTTAACCAACCTCACAAAAAGCATTAGCTAAAATAAGACAACATCTTCAGTCAATCTATAGTCTTTGTTATTTATATGATATGTGGATTGCTAATTTAAAACACTACGCTTTGATTAATAGAACATCAGTGAGAACTTAAGATTAGAAGCTTTTGACTAGCAGCTCTGTTTCTTAATTAATCTTTGTATATGGGAATAAAACTGAAACCAATAATTGTATTTTTCTTTCAGGCAAAATACCAAGCACCATCAAGACAAACATAAAATCTGCGTCAGCATCAATGCACCCTTACAATCGATGAGCTCTGTTGGCAAAGTAGTACATTTGTTTACAGAATAAATCTCATTTGTTGTTGTTTGTTTTTTCTTCACCATTATGTTTTTTTTAAATCAGTCAATGTGTGAATAAACTTATGTCAATGTAGAGAATACTTTGTTTTATTTCCAGTATTTTGATGTTTACTAATAATGGTTGAATTACATTTGTATATTAATTTTTAGTTTTTGATTATGAAAACTAATCAAGACAAAGATACATTATAAATATAGTTATAATTTATAAATAATAATTAAATTATAAATAATAAAAGCTAAATTATATTTGTTTTACAAAAATCAACGTAATAAACTGACATTGTAAACTCCCAATTACTTTTTTTCTATAAAATCAATACGGGTAGCAGCGAGGTGGAAGCCCTCGGCGGAAGCTTTGGGCGATACCTCACCGAACAGCTCGCTGATTGGTTACCCGTGCCGTCTTTTCTCAGGAGTTGATTGGCTCTTTTGCAACCTGCGTTAAGATTGTTCAGATACGCGCTAAGAAACGTTAGGACTTGTTAGGAATCGCTCTGACGGCCATCTGGCTCAGCCACCACTGCCCCAATTAGGAGAACTACAGAAAAGCACTTTTATTGTACATCATAAAATGCACTGATATGTTATGTATTAAATGTACACGTAGTTCTGCTGTATTTAAATGTCTTATTGAATAGAAAATAATAAAATGAGCAATACCCCCATCTGCTGGGGAATATAAGAATCAACAGAAAATAATGTCCTTTCACTTTATGAATATAACACCTCCAGATATTTTCATAACTAGCCTTTCGTCATCTATTTAAGCCATTTTTGTCTTGATCTGTCTTTATTTGTTTAAGACAAGAACAGTTTGTTGCTGTAGCATCTGTAGCACCAGTCTAACCTTCTTTACAAACATTTAGCTGTCCTCTACCTTTGATCCATTTTAACTTAACTTTTAGCTTCTTGACGTTTTTCCTACTGTATTTTTTGTCGTTTCTTTATATCCGTTCATTTAAATATTATATGTAGCTTCGGGCTAACTGTTAGAACATCCATATTTCTTATATACTAAGATACACTTGTATGTGATGAGGGTTCCTAATTTTATTCATTAACATTTAATTACAAATTATTTTTAGTTTCGGTTTACGTTTTTACGTATTTTAAAGACTGATTCCCAGCGGCTCCAGCTGTCGCGCGCGTGCATGTACGTATATAGGTTATGTCTGTTTTCAGGCCTAACGGTGACAGTGATGGACACAGCCACTGACCAATCACAGGGCGGCTCGGCAGCAGGGCAACATCTTGATTGGCTGTGGCGTAGACAGACGGCGAGATCAGAGCCGCCGCAGCAGCAGGTCCGGCTGACATCTGGAGAACAGAACCAGAACCAGACCTCCATCATCTCACCCCGACCTCCCGTTCGCAGCTTCCCTAGGATCGTGGATAGTGTACGTGCTGGCAGAGAACCCGCAGCCGCGTCTCCGGGAGGAAGAAACGGCGACGCTTCTTCAGTTCTAGAGAAAACACCCCGCAGCCAGAAAAACTGGTACTTCAGTCCCGAACATAGCTGCTCACAGATCTCAGTGTAGGCTTGGACCTCGCTGGGCCTGGTACCAGATCCATTTCCGGCTCCTGACGGTCGTGTTTTTGTCGCCTGTTAAATCCATCAGGATCATGAAGCATCCGCCTCTGCACCGATAATCCCGGGCTACATCTGAGCTCTGATCCGGATTATTTTGGTTCTGGTTCAGGTTCTGACTTGGTACCCATCATCTATAGCGGTCTGGACCTGTCGTGTTCTGCACTGAAACGTGGGAAATGTGGGTTTTTGTGAACTGGGCCCTGTTGTGATTTGTGGTCCTCCAGAATCCTGGTCTGGTTCTGATCCTGGTTTGATCTTTGACCTCAGTTCTGATGCAGGTCCTTTCAACTGGATTTGGTGCAACATCTGGACTTTGTTGGATTTAAACCTAGTTTTGATTCTGGGTTTATCACTGGATTTGTCTTTGGTGTGTTTGGTCCTACTCTCCTGCTCCTGATTTGGTTCTGTGTGTCAGATCTTCTGAAATCATGCCAACATCCCGGCCGGGTACAGAACCGGTAGAGTTCTGGGTGGAGGGTTCAAGACGGGACGGCACGGTGGAAGAGTTCTACAACCTGAGCTCAGAGCTGGGCAGGTCTGGACCACATGGACGGGCCAGGACCAAATGAGTCCCCATGAAACCAGAATCATGTGCACTCTCTTGGTCCAGAATGTTCTTTACTTTCTTCAACATTGTATTCAACTATCAGATGTCACAGTTATGGATTAGTAAATTAGTTAACTAATTAGTCCATTAGTTAATCCTCAACCTTAGAGAAGAAAATCAGTGATTTTAGTTCAGACCAAAGTCCATGAAGAAAATCAGTGATTTTAGTTCACACAGACACTGTTTTGACACTGTATCAGCAAAAGTGATGCCAGTGTTGAAATTAGAGCCACCAGTTACCAGGTGACTTGTTACCATGGAGATCAGAAAGTACTTGGTGTATGTGTGTGAAAGTGTTTCCTCCATCTGTCCCAACAGAATAACACACACACCAGTTGAAATCTTGCTGTTTTGTGAGCTAAAATCACTGATTTTCTCTGTGAGGTTTGGTGTGACAGAGTAACGTTTATGTGTTCACAGAGGCGCGACATCTGTTGTTTATCGCTGTGAGGAGAAACAGACACAGAAACTGTTTGCTGTCAAAGTGCTGAAGAAAACGGTGAGTTGCTCAGAGGTTGTTTGTCACAGTTTGAAGGTCAAAGATCAGACTTCTCTCTCCCTTTCTGATGTTTGTTTTTCTTCTTTTTTTCCATCATCAGATAGACAAGAAGATTGTTCGCACAGAGATTGGTGTGTTGCTGCGACTCTCACATCCCAACATCGTAAGTCTTGGTTGGACCTGAACGTTGGTTTAAATTATTCAGTTGAAATGTGAAAATGTGATGAAAGACAACAACAAACCTTCAGTTGTTAAAGTGACAACTGAGTGGAATACTGGTGCCGCCCTCCGAAGGAATTCTGAGGAATAGCACCCTCAGTGTCTCCAAATCACATTAGACATTGTCATGGACATTCATGTGTCCAGTAGGGGGGGCAGTACTGAAGAGGGCAGTGTAGAAGAGTTTTTTCTGTCCAAGCTGTGGCTCTTGGACTTTAACCAGGTCATTTGGATCACACATACAGAGTCATGTCTACACGTGTGATGTCATTGTTGATGTCATGAGTGATGTCACAGTGATGTAACCTCTGTGTGTGGTTCAGATCCAGTTGAAGGAGATCTTTGAAACTGACACAGACATCGCTCTGGTTCTGGAACTGGTTACTGGAGGAGAACTGTTTGACAGGTATTTGGTACTCACACATACACACGAACACACACACACAAACACTGACCTGTCATGACCCCTGACCTCTGCAGGATTGTTGAACGTGGTTACTACAGTGAGAGAGACGCTGCACACGTCATCAAACAGATTCTGGAGGCCGTGGCGGTAAGAACGCTGCCTTCACTGACAGTAGGAAAGAAGACACTGTTGTGTACAGTAGTTAGAGTCGTTGTGTTGACTTGCAGCAGTTTGTTAGACAAACACACACACCGCATCCTCACAGTTCTCTATCTCAGCTGCTGGTGGCGCTGTTCTTTCAGCAGCACTAACGTCTGTGTTGATTTTAAGTACTTACATGAAAACGGCGTTGTGCACCGTGACCTGAAACCAGAGAACCTTCTGTACGCCGACCTCTCACTGGACGCTCCTCTGAAGATTGGTAAGGATGCTGACAGGGGCCATTTTGGCTCTTCCTCATCTTCCTCCTCCTCCTTCGGTGACCTAAGTTTTTTCTCCTGTTTTTCAGCTGACTTTGGTCTTTCAAAGATCATCGATGATCAGGTGACCATGAAGACGGTCTGTGGGACGCCAGGTTACTGTGGTCAGTATGAGTGAAGGACAGGCTGGTGTGTTTAAGGACCCTCAGAGTCCTGCCACTAAGCCAATGATGATGTGATGCCTTCACTGTCACTGCTGTAGTGTGGGATTTGACAGGATGTGTGTCTGTAGCTCCAGAGATTCTCAGAGGAGTGGCCTATGGACCAGAGGTGGACATGTGGTCAGTGGGTGTCATCCTCTACATCCTGTGAGTCACACGTGCATACACACACACACATATATATACAGTAGGTACTTCCTAATCCTAACAGTCCCCTATTCCTATTTCCGGTCCTCAGGCTGTGTGGCTTTGAACCCTTCTTTGATCCGCGTGGCGACCAGTACATGTACAGTCGAATACTCAACTGTGACTACGAGTTTGTGTCTCCGTGGTGGGACGAAGTGTCTCTCAACGCCAAAGACTTGGTGAGTTCCTTTGACCCCCCCCCACACACACACACACACACACCCTCCACCCTAAAGAATGGAAGGGCCTGCACTCCACTCCCTCAGATGTTTCTCAGTGTGGTCCTCCTGTCTCTGTCCTCAGGTCAGTAAACTCATCGTCTTGGATCCTCACAAACGCCTGAGCGTGCAGGAGGCCCTGCAGCACCCGTGGGTTCTGGGTAAGGCTGCTCGATTCTCTCACATGGACACAACGCAAAGGAAACTGCAGGAGTTCAACGCCCGACGGAAACTCAAGGTGAGGAAAAACCTGGTCCTGGTTCTGATTCTGGACCTTAAGCTTCCTCAGTGACTGGTTGCGAAATTCTTGTGTTGTTAAAATAAATTACCAAAACAACACCAGCGTTTCCCCCCCCTGACGGCAGACCGTACCATTTGACTTCAGTGGGTGTTAACCATGGATGTCCAGTCCATCACAGGGTCACAGATGGAGATAAACATCTGAGTCCAATTTTTCTGTCAGTAGAATAAGACAGCGCCCCCTGTGTGTGTGTGTGTGTGTTTTACAGGCTGCAATGAAAGCTGTTGTTGCCACCAGTCGGATGCACGAGGGTTCTCGGCGTCGCACCGACAGCTGTGAGATTCCTGGCTCCGGAGCTTCCAGGCAGAGCAGCATGCAGCAGGACCCCGCCCCGGAGCCCGCGAGCCCCACTTTGGAAGATAAAGAGACCACACCCCCTGGCGAACAGCCACAGGAGGATCAATCAAAGAGCAGCGACCAACGAACCCCCAGCCCCTGCCCTTCTCAGAGTTCTAATGTCCCTAGCTCCGACCCCACCCCCACGACTGTCCGCACCAGACCGCCGCTGCGTGCAGATGGGCTGCGACAAACGTCTGTCGTCCCCAAAACAATGCTGGTGCAGACGCAGGTGCCCCCGAAGAGCTGCTCCCTAATTGGTTCTGCCTCCCAAGGCGAGAGCACACGTGCACTGGCCACGCCACAGAGTCCAGACAACCTCAGTAATGGCTTTACATCGGAGGCGGAGGCGGAGCCAGCCAGCCAGTAGGACGGCCCACTGCCAGTGATCACATGACTGAAGCCCCAAGCTCCTTATGTTAATGTTTACTCATATTTACTAACATGTATCCTGTACAAACACATCTTCCACCAATGTAGCTAATGCTAATGCTAACAGCTGGACTCTTCTTTCTGTTTCTACAAAGAGCTGTGTGTTTTAGCATTAACGCTAAAAGTTGTTTGTCCCATACCAGAGCTGCTAAGAGAAACAAAAGAGGAGGCTAATAATGCATGGTGCTAACCATTACCTCTGGCAGAAGTGGCTAACAGTTAACACTAAATTATGTTTCACAACTCCATCATTTTAGCTGTGACAAACCAGTGCCAATGGAAGCTAAGTGAACTAACCACAGACGCAGCTAACTTTAACTAACACTAGCTGATTTTAAACAAAATAACCACCAGTGACTCTGGTGACACAGTGCCCCCAGAGACACTGAGTGTAATATAAAATACAAACAACGGTTTTGTTGAGTACATAAAATGGATCCCCCTGCTGGACACAACTATCAGCTCTGATATTGGACAAACCTTTTCTTGAGAGAATGTATTTCTTTAACTGAAGAGACAAAGATGAAAACATGAAAGACGAGCGGCGGACTTGACGACAACGCTGTGCTTCTCAGACTCGCCTGCAGGGCGCGTCAGCATGTTGTGTTTGTGAGCTTCTAGTAAAACATTAGCTTTGTTTACATTGTACATAGTTGTTTTGCTAAGGAGTTCCTGGTGTTGCTACGTTACTTGATTGTTGGTGAACCTTTGACCCCTGAATTCTAGGATTTTCTGAAGCTGCACCTACCTCTGTTCGTACAAGAGCTTCCAATGTGGTCAAATGACGACCACAGGTGACGACTCAGCAGTTACACGGTTAGGCTGCATTCATGCCACAAATTCAAAATTATTTTACACGCTAATGTGGAAAAGGTTAGCATTTGGTTGGCAGCAGGAGACTGCAATGCTAATCTTATGCTAGCAACACTCAGTTTTATCCTGCCCGTTCACATGGCCAAACGTTTTCAATGCTGATTGGCTTTTTGAAACAAACTCTTGACATTTTTAGCCTTTGTTTGTTGTGTCACAAATCCACGGTCAAGGTGGGCGGAGCCACTGACACGCGTCAGCTTTTTACTGAAAAGAAAGGGATGTCTAGTCCTGGTATGGTTCTGGTCGGGTCCAGATTTATCCCTTCATTGATGTCATTGCTAAACAAACACATTAATGGCACCACAGTGACATCTGCTGGTGATAAAAACCTCAGCGGCAATGACGGTAAATCTTCAAGGTTTGAGGAGACAGTGGTAAAGATTCTGACAGAGGTTCTGTTTCTGACTGTTTGGACTGCATGAGCATGCTCTGTTTTTAGATCTGGTTCTGGATCTAGATCTTCGTCTTCTGTACATCCATGAAGATCAACCCCAGGCTGGGAAAGCGGGTGGGGCTAATCTATAAAAATGCTTTGTTTTGTGTTTGATGAGTGACAAATATTTTGGTCTCTGCATGTTTTTATTTATTTCTGTTCATCAAATCAGATTAAATCAGCGGTTGTCTGTGGGCGTGGCCTTCTTACTGACACCAACAAGTCAAACACACAAATAAGAGATGCTAAGCTAGTATAGCCACATTTGTCTACACGTTATGGCCAATAACGGAAGATGCTAACTGGTCAATTTAAACAATTATGGCCAATGGAAGATGCTAACTGGTCAATTTAAACAGCAGGTGGCTGTTTATGGGGGACAGACAGCAAGTCTCTGTCTGTGGACCCGTCCATCCACCACCGTCCCACACCAGTACACGGACTGTGTTCTGGTGTTGGCAACTGACACCTGCCACAACGACGCAACGTTGTAGGCTCCACCTTCCCCCTGAGTCATCACTGACACGTTAGTGCCTGCTGATGTCACCAACGTGTCATTGACCCACCAAAGGACGTCCAGCAGAGGGGTCGAGAGTCTGGAGACAACACAGACCAGAAGAAGAGATTCCTTAGAGGAAGATGAGCTGGACAGAAGTTGGATGTTTGGGGCGTCGGTGTCTGTGGGCGTGATTTGAACCATCATTAAAAAATGCTTCAGCTTCAGTGGACAGGCTAATGAGGATCTAAAAGTTACGAGGTTAGCTGAAACATTTTTAGAGTTTGGTCACGAGAAGATTCTAGAAACAGCCTCAAATCACACAATGCAGCGTGACAGCCAAAAATTAGCCAAAAACCCTGAAGCTAATAACTGCAAAATAGTTAAATAATAGACAAGAACAAGTTAGCAACATCAGAAACAAATCTATGAAGAATTCACCAAGAGCCAAACTTTGAAAGCCCAAGAACATCAGAAAAAGCTTTTGGTTTAGAACTTTCTGCAAAAGCTTTGTTAAATGTTAGCCAAAGCTAAAACTACAAAACTAAAAACCAGCCTTGTTCAATGTTCCCCTGGCTAATGACAGCCAGGGAGATGTTCAAAGTTTCATAAAGTGTATGTTATGAAAAATATATACTGTATGGTTAGCTAACATATGGAGCTAAAAGATAGCCGACAACGCTTTAAATGAAGACAAAGTAAAAGTGACGAATGAGAAACGAACCTGAGTTTTCACTGTGATGATGATGATATTCTTCATCTGTGAGAACCAGCAGCTGAGTCTCCACACTGAACTGCACTAACGTGCACACACATGCACATCTGCAGAGTCAACAACAAAGAACATCAACAACAAATAAACACATGAGGAAAAAAGGAGGAAAGGAGCTCACCTGAGGAGGAGGAGAAGGAGAAACAGAGGAGAGGTCATCATCGGACTGAGGAGTTTCAAACTGTTCACACACATGAATGAGCACAGACTGATCTGATATCAGTTAAATAACAAAAACAGGAAGTTGTTGAAGCCCAGAGGAGGATTCACTGAGTCCAGAGGAGGAGTCAATGACGACAAAGCAAGAAGATAAGGTGTTAGGCTAATGCTAATAAAAGCTAAGGTGTTATTGAAGGCTAAGCCAACGCCAACAAAGTGAAGACAGAAGTTGATGAACGGCACCAGAACAACAGGACTAAACCCAGAAACGTTACGTTTGAACGACCCTATTTTATTTAGACAGACATGTTTGACGTGTCGACAGATTAGCTGATCGGTGTCATGACAATGCAGCAAAAATAATTTGCTGAGTCGGTGAGCTGGACTTTTGTCAGATGCAGAGATCCATCGACTCCCATCAACACTTTGTCTGCAGCCACACCGGGACCGTGTGTGACGTCAGAGCCATTTGTGGGCGTGGTCATGGAGACAATCAGCTGTGGGCTACGCCCCCACCACTTTCTGTACCAACTGACTGATGAAACGGTCTTGGTGTTGTCCAGCAGGGGGCAGTGCAGTGCCACATTTTGTCCCATTTTTACCAACAAAGCAGGTGGAGGAAGAGCGCCCGCCGCCTGGCCAACAGGTAGCACTACAACAACCACCAATGAGAATAAACATTAGGTTGAGCCACAACTGTCTGGGCGAAAGTCTGGACTGAACTGACTGTTTCTACTTCAGTTAGTGACTGAACTGACTGTTTCTACTTCAGTTAGTGACTGAACTGACTGTTTTAGTGACTGAACTGACTGTTTCGACTGTTTCTACTTCAGTTAGTGACTGAACTGACTGTTTCAGAGTCTTTGTGTTAAAACAACAGTGAACAGAGAGGCTAAACAGAGTTTAAACACTGGTACCATTGCAGATGATGCAGCTAAAGTACACACTATTACTACAGTTACTTTAACTATGGTAGGTGTAGTTATTTCAGTTGAAAAGTACTGGTCCAAACAGACTCACCACAGGCAGAGACCAGGACCAGGCTCATCAACCCCAGAACGTGCTCCATCATTGTCTGACTGTTGACATAATCATCCAGCAACGAGTACCTCCAGTAGACAAGGACACGCCCACACTGTGACATCAGCATCTATCATTCAGAAATGGTTCTAGCTTCACTTCCTGTATCTTCTTTTTTTCACAGCTTCTGTTGAAGAAGAAGAAGATCATGGACCAGATCATGGAGGAGATGGATTTTTTTCTTCACTTGTTGATTTATTAAAACAACCTGTGGTGAAGCCCCACCTTCTAGGGTGTGGTTGGGTGTGTCTTTGTGGGTGGGGCAGGGCTTCACCCAGGATGACTCAGATCTGGATCTCAGTCCAATCTCAGGCATTTAATTATAGAAAAACGTTATTTTTTTCCACAGGGGAATTTGTCCAGCCCCCTGTCGCTGCTCTGACCAATCACAGCTCAGCTCAGCTTGGGGTGGAGTCAATGCCAGCTGTGTGCCAACAGATGGCCAACGGTCAGGAAACAGTGAGCTGCCGTTACTTTTCTGTTTTTTCTGCAGCAGATACAGTAGAGTGTGTGTGTGTGTGTGTGTGTGACATACCTTTGACTTGCCATCTTTTATATTGAGCTGCTGACCCTCTGACCCTCTGACTCTCTCTGTGAGAAACTGAATAAAATGATTATTTGTTTCAGTCCCTGAAGACAGGGTCTACGTGTATGTGTGTGTGAGTCAAAGTTTCGTTTCTGATTCTGAAACTTTAAAACTCAACAGAAAAGAAAACAACCTGATGGTTCCTCTGAAACAGAAACTTCACTGTTCTCTCTCTCTCTCACACACACACACACACACACACACACCTCACACTGAAATGAAAGTTTCCATGTTCAGCCAGAGTGTGTTTTTGGGTGTTTTTCCTGTTGATGGCTCCGTCCCCTCTCCCCACCATCAGGAGGGTGGAGGTGGGCGGGGCCAGGTGGGTGTGGTTCAAGCTTTTCCACACCGTCCCTCCCTTCTCTCTGCGTTCCTGAGCAGAAGGAAAGTCCAGCTCAGTCGGAGCCGACTGCCTCCTCCAGCTCCATCGTGTTCATAGTTCTCCCGGAGCTTCCTCATCATGACGGCCTCCGCCTCCTCCTCTTCCTCACTAAAGTTCAAGAACCTGGCTCTGGCGGCCCTTGCTCTGTGGTCTCTGGCGTCCCTGGTGGTGATCGTGGTGTGGGCGACGTCCCCAGACCTGAAGGGCTCGGCCCAGTGTCGGGCGGAGCTGCAGGAGATGCGGGAGAAGATGGAGGGAGCTAAGGTGGTGTGGAGGGACGACCGCGTGGCCCTGGAGGAGAGAGTGGAGAAGGAGCGTGAGAAGCAGGAGCGTCTGAAGGAGGAGAACCAGCTGCTGCTGCTGAGCCTGACTGCTGCCAACCACTCAGTGGACCAGTGTCAGCAGGAGAATGTGAGTGTCAGGATGAAGCTGTAGAACCAGAACCAGAACCAGAACTTTCAGATTCAACCTGTTTTTGGTCACGGCTTCAGATATGTTTGTTCGGCAACAATGTAGCGCCACCTCTAGCTACATCCGAGTGAGGCTAAAAGTAGCCTCATCGCGGACACCTTTTAACACCTACAACATGCTAACAGTCGTTACATACGCCAGCTTTAGCTTTGTACTACCAGATGCTAACAGTTGCCACACTGATAATCGGTTGTACAAATTCTGGGCCAACTTTTAGATACCATCAATGTTAGCTTCTTCAAAATGTTTTTTTTTTTTTGGTTTTAATATTTGTAATATTACACTGAACTCTACTGATCTACTGTTACTGTGATGCTAACAACCGCTGCATAGTGAATGACTTCTAACTCAAAATCCACTTCTAGTCCAGGTTCAGTTCTAATCCTGGTCCAGTTGTGTTTTTCCAGTGAAGTGAAAGTGAAAACAAACTTCAGTTTGACTTGAAGTGACCTCTCCTCACCTTTCTCTCCTCCCTTCCTCCCACATATCTCTTCTTTCTTCTCCCCTTCTGCCACCTTGATTCCTGTCTCCTGTGTCCTTGACTCCTACCTGTTCTCCTCACTCCAATCTTCTCCTTTTGTCACTCATTCCCTATCCCACCTTTTTTCCTCTCCCCTACTTTTTTCCCTCACCTCCCCGACTCTTCCCCCCTTCCCTGCTCCCTCCTCATTCTCTCCTCTGACCGTACCTCCTTTCTTTCCTACACCTGTGGTGTATCTTGCTCTCCTTCCCTTTTCTCTCCACCCCTTTAATCCATTATCTTCCCTCTCTCCTTCTTGCATTCCCTCTCTCCTACCACTCCTTCATATTTCCTCCCGTTTCATCTCCCCGTCCTTCTCTACTCTTATTCCTTAACCCCTTTTCTCCCACATTTTCCTTTTCCTCCTTTGTTTCCTACCACCCTCTAGCCCCACTCTTCTTTCCCCCCTCTCTCCCTTCACCACTATCTCTCTCTCCTCACACCTCTGTCTCTCCCCATCTCTCTCTACCCTCTACTCCTCCTTTAGCCCCTCACATCCCCCTCTCCTCAGCAGCAGCTCCGTTCTTTTACTTCATGTTTTTTCCACATACACATCCTCACAGTTGTTGGTTGGAAAAACTGACTGTTTCCCTCCTCTCCCTCCTCCTCTCCCTCCTCCTCCTCCTTCTTCCCTCCCTCCCCTCTTCCTCTGGTGCTTTATCCTGACTCATTTCTCCACTTCTGTTCCACTCCTCCCTTCCCCTCTCCATCTCTTTTCCTTGGTAAGAAATCCCCACCCACCCACACACCCCACATCCCCCATGTGACCCAGTCTTTTGCAGCGACCCCTTCAGGCCACGCCTGCAGTAGCAGCTCTGATGTCACTTCCTGTCTGACTGTAAACGATTGACAGGTGTGAACTCATTATGGTCAGAGTTTGTGTCATGTGACCAGGGCAGAGGCTTTCATCCAGTGGTCGTGCCATGTGACCTGAGAGCCATCAGCAGTGCATGCTGGGAGCATTTTCAATCAGCGGCCTCCTGTTGAAGCTCTGTGAAAACTGTGAAGCTGGTGTGAATTATTCAGCATCAGCGTAAATTGTCTGAGATTGTCTACAAACTCTTCACAACTGATCTGTTCATGTCACATGACCACAAGTCAGGTCAGGTCTGACAGAGCTGAGGGGGCGGGGGGGGGGGGGGCGGGGGCGGAGCGCCCTGGACAGCAGAACAG